GTGGTGGGTAGGAAGTGGTAACACAAGCGAGCAACAAGAGTGGCCATGTTGAGACTAGCCGGAGCTGGACAGTGAGAACTTGGGGCTTCATCACGCCATACTTACTCTTATTAAACATTTTTCAAGGCAAATACATGGACTCAATGACAGTTTTTTCTCTTTGACAAACCACCTAGGTTTCTCACTTCAAGGTTTCCGGTGTCACTATTTTTTGGCAGTACTAGTTTGAACTCAGGGTATTGAGCTTTTGAGGCAGGTGGCAGGTGCTCTACCACTTGAGCCATCTCCAGCCCTGTCACTTTATTTTATAATGAGCCATGTGAACTCAAGCTAGAAGTAGACTAGCTATGAGCCAGAAGGGTTGGTTAAATATTGAGACTGGGTTGCTGAGGGAAGTCTTTTAACTTTTCAGGCACACATACAAATGTAATTAAAGTCTGATTCCCTCAAGATTTTAAAGTCTGGAGAGCTATTTTTTTTCACCTACTCTATTTTTAGTTGGTACACTTCTTCGTGCTCTGTGAAATGCGTATGTATGTATACTATTGCATGGAGAGTATCTATTTGTACAATCTACCTTATACAGCTTACATGTTTAGCATCCTGTTCCTTTGCCTTCAAATTTTATATAACTTCAGATACGTTTTTCTCACGCCAAATAGCTCATCATTGTCTACAACCAGCAAGTCATTCAAGAGAAGTATTTTGAAAATAGGACAGTATCTAGCCTTTGAACCACAGAGATGAATTTTACACTCCTCTTAAGATCATGTCATCACTAACATTCTTTTGTTTTATCACAAAACCCTAGTTCTAGAAGCTTGTTTTCACACCTGAATAGACTTGGGACATGATCCTGTGAAATTTAAGAGGTAAACCTGGCCAATCTCAACCCCAAGGGAGCATCCTGTAGCGCTTGAGAGGTAAACCTGGCAATCTCAATCCAGGGGGCCGAGGGGGGAAGAGGGTCAGTGCTGTGGGGTGCAGGGTGAGATCAAAGCCCAGGATTTGCTTTTATATTGTTGTAAATAACATTACTATTGTAGGTTCTATAGTTCAGGCTTCTAAATTCACAGCATGATATACATTAAAGTTCTTCACAGTGTTTTGTCATTTCTAATTTGCATTACAAAAATTACTTTGGGGCATATTTTCCCAGCACTGGCACTGCTATTTAATGAAAGCTTGATGTGTCAAAACATCTTTTTAAATTACAGGAACAAAAATAACCAACAATAATTGGCAAATCACTGGCAGAGGTTTCTCAGCTTGAATCGAACGGCTCACGTCACTGACAAGTCACGGCACGTGTTTAACCAGCAAGAGTGTACACAGTCTGTAATTCATTAGTCTAAACTCATGTGAGTTTTAAACTAGTTTTTAGAAAAATCTGGGCAATATGCTATTTCTGTGTTGTGGTATTTTTATATCACATTATTTCTAAATTTGTGATATAACTTTTTTGAGATTATTGGCTTCCTAGGTAAGGAAAGATGATAAAGATGAAAAGTAAACTGTTCTGACTAGAAGTGGTCCTTTGGAATTCTAAGGCAATCAGGGCACATCACCTGTAACACTATTGTTCACATCTCTCACTCCTGTATTTTGGGCAAAGTCCTCTCAAGAATTACTCCTAGAGGTGTGGCTTATGTGGTAGAGCGCCCATTTTGCAAGCGTGAAGCCCTGCGTTCAAACCCCAGTCCCACCTCCCCACAAAAACTCCAAAAGTTTCCTAAAGCAGAGGTCTAGAGGAATTGCACACAGGAACGCCACCACCACCACCATTACCTGTATGTGTTTCACAGAAGCACTCCTCACAACACATTAAAGACTGACAGAGCGCAAATCTCCATCCACAGCAGAACATTACTCAGCCGTGAAAAGGAGTGAAGCACTCCATATGCCACCACACCAATGAACCCTGACAACACGCCAAGTCAAAGTGGACAGACTCAAAGGCCACTCACCGCCTGACTCCATTCATACAGAAACACACAGAACAGATAAATCCATGGGGACAGAGGGATTCCTGGCTGCCAGGGCTAGGGGAGGGGAAATGGGGAGAATTCCAATGAGTCCTGGTTTCCTTTTGGGTTGATGAAACATTCTAGAACTTGATGGAGGTGAAGTGACAGCTGTGTCACACTGTGAATCTATCAAATGTCCCTGAATTGTTTACAGCAAGCCACTGTATGGTATGTAAATTTCATGTAAATTCTTGAAAGTGTTTAAGAAAAGAAAAAAGAAAAGTGAGGCAATGGGAAAAAAAAAAAAAAAAAAAAAAGAATTACTCCTGTCCTGACTTTCTCTCCTGTGCCATCTGCTGAATCACAACATGACTACAGTCAATCCTGTGTGGGTAAATGTTTTCATCTGGTTTCTGAAGAGGGACAAATCCTAAACTGTAGCAGTTGCCTCTTTCGGTGGTGCAAATATCCCAATCCTGGCAAATTTCAAGTTATCAACATGGATGAGGAAGTACAAATGGCTCTCAGAAGCCAGTACAAATCCACTTCAACCAACTGTAAAGTGATTCTCAGTCTTAAGGTCACAGCCCATTAGTGTGTCTTGCAAACATTTTAGTGGATTATGAATGGCATTTTTTAAAATGAAAAAGTTGACTGTTTCATACATAACAAGACTACAGTTTTGGGAAATTTTTTCTGTAATTTTAAGCAGTCTACAACATTGTAACTCTACTTATTGTCTCACTTTTAAAAGACAAAAGATTTACATGATCTGAAATCAGAATGTTGTTTCACTTTTAAAAAGTCTAAAAGCCACATTTGTAGTATCTTTTGTCTTCAAAAACAAGAAATGAAATCTTCCCCGCACACCACTGCTTCCTCAGCCATGATGCTGATTCTCTGTTCCTACTCATAGCAAAATTTCTTGAAATACTTATGGTCACCATTTCCACCACTTCTCTGCTTCATATCTGATTCACTTCAGAACCAGCATCACCAGTGACGACCTTGTTGCTAAACCCATCAGTCACTCCCATTTCCCTTGAACTCTCAGTGCATTTGGCCTGACTGGCTATTGCTTTTTTGGCTCTGTGCCACCACTGTCAGCAGGTCTCTATGGCTATCCCTTCTCAGTCTCCTTTGCTGGCTTTTTCTTCCTTTTCACTGGCTTTATCTCCTGAGGGCTCTGTCCTGGTTCATCTTCTCCATCTGCTCTCCTAGGTGACCTTATCCAATTGCTGGCTTACTATCATTTCCCCCTCATCTCCTCTGCTTCACCATGCTGGTAACTTTTGTTTCCACAGCATACTGTCACTCTAAAGAGACCCAGGGACTCTGCAGTAGCTGTTCCCTCAGCTTGGAATACTTCTAGCACTGATACGTATTTATTTCATCTTATTTTAACTTTGTAAAAAAGTACTGGGTAGACCCAGGCAAAACTGTGAAGATCCTTAATTGCTCTTTATCAATAATCTAACATTCAACCTGGAACCATCCCCCTCCACCCCAAACAGGCCGGATGTGTCCCTAAGATGGTGTCAGGACTGTGCTCGGTGGCAGCCGAGGGTCAAGGCCAGGCCCGCCCAGCGCCCGGCCCGTGGGCGTCGGGGCGCGGCCTTCGGACCCACCCAGACGCTGTTAAAACGCGCCCTTTGTCCCCGCAGCAAGGCCGTCGCGGTGTCAGCGCCCGGAGGCTGTGCGGGAGGTGGAGCCGGTGGCGGCCAGGGGTCCACAGAGCCACGAGGACGTCACGTTGGACGCCGGGCGCGCGAACCCGGAAATGGACGGGTGCTGACCCCCCCACTTCCGGTAGTCGTCACGGACGCCGGGTCGCGAGCCCGGACGGCAACCCGCGGCGGACAAACAACTGCGGGTGGAGCGCCGGCCGCGCGGTCCGGGTAAGTCGGGGGCGCAGGCCTGGGATGGTGACGGTGGTCAGGGGCGCGGTGGCCAGGCCAGGGGCCCTGGAAGTCGCGCGGCCGGGGACAGAGTGGGACGTGGCTGTCTCTAAAAGAGACTTTGAGGGTGGGGGGGTCCACTCGGGGTCCTGGTTCACCCCACCCCTCCCTGGACACTCGCCCCGGGGTGTCGCCTCGCTGCCAGCCGCCCCCGGACTACGTTCCATCCGCTCCCGCATCGCGGAGGGCGCTGTCCTTCCCGGCGTTTCTAATGACAGCTCGGGGACGGCGCAGTGACAGAGCCCTGCTGCTCTCCCTCACTCCGGACGCGCGCTTTGCCACGCCGTCATTAAACCGCAGCGCAGCGCTGCGGTGCAACAATGTTGCAAATTAGAAACCGCAAGTCCCCGCTCGTCCTAAGACCCAAGGGATCAGCCTGCGCAGCTCGGGGACCAGCGGTTCCCTGCCACTCTGGGGCTTAAATGCATAGTCTCTGCTCAGGATATCAGTGATGGTTGTGGGGTGGCAACTCTGTCCTGCGGCTTTTTTGCTCTCTCCCGTGCTTCCTGAATTTCACCCCAGCAGAAGGAAAGGATCCGAGGGGTTTTCTTGCTGCTGCTGTTGTTTGGGGGGACTGGGGTTTGAACTAAGGGCTGCATGCTTGCGAAGCACGTTCTCCACCACTTGAGCCACAACTCCAGTCCATTTTGCTCTGGTTATTTTGGAGCTGGAATCTCGAGAACCGTTTCCCTGGGCTGGCCTCGAACCTCTATTTTCGCGATCTCATCCTCCCAAGTTTCTAGGATTACAGGAGCGAGCCACAGGTGCCAGGCTGGGTCTGAGGTCACCCCTGTGTGAGAGTTCTTCATACAAACTGCGTTTGGATTTAGGTGGTGAACCAAGAGGAATGCAATTTTTTTTTTCCTCAGTAGAGAAAAAGCAGTAGATCTGTTTAGCGTCTGTCAGAGTGAGAGAATTCCCGGAAGTAAAATTAGGAAACTCTAGTTTCGTTTCTCCTTTAATTTTGCTTAGAGTCATCGAGTGTTCCCTAGAGCTGTTCAGTGCTGTACTTATGGAAACTTTTATCTTTGAAAACCTGGCTGTATCCCTCCCCCCTCTTTAGCAACGGGAAAATTGTGTCTTATTGAATACAAAAGGTTGGATTTCTTCCCTTTTGATTTACTTAATTTGAAGGAGGAAGACCAATGTCTTCTGTAAATAACAGTAGCCAACTCAGTGATTCCTGCCTCTGTGTTTTAATTCATTTAGTTCTCAGAACAAACCCATCATGGGAACACTCATTTGACAGACAGAAAAATGTGAAACGAATGCTTCTGATAATCAGTTGTATAGGATTGTTCAATTGTTTAGGGTTTTCGTTTTGTTTTGTTTTTGGTGCTGGGTATTGAACCCAGTGGGCAAGAGAGCTATCTACTACTGAACTATATCCTCAGGCCTTTAAAAATATTTTTACTTTGAGATAGTCTTGCTAAGTTGCCTAAGTTAGCCTCAAACATGTGACCTCTTGCTGTGACCAAAGGCATGAGCTATCACACCCAGCAATTTTTCAGTGTTTTTAATGATAAATTCCATGTTAGAAATTTTCTGCTGGTATATTTTAAAACTATTTCCTGTACTTATAATCCAACATTGTTTAATATAGAAGTACACTAGAAAGAATGGAGGTTGAGTCTTTGTTTGTAATATATATTATGTGGTAGCTGTCAGAAAATAACAACTTAAATATAAAAATACGGTATGAAGAAAAATAATGCAGGCTTGTTTTCCTTTCCCCCATTTTGACTTTGCACAGGGCGAGTACCTGAGTTTCAGTCTGGATAACCTTTACGTGAAACGCACTTAAAATCTTACGTGAAAGAGACTCCAGTCAAGAAAATCAGCACTAAGTTGGGAAAGAATGATGTTGTCCTTAAACAACTTACAAAATGTCATCTACAACCCGGTAACTGATTTTCGTAAAATCACTGTTTCCCTGTGTTGGAGCTGAGAGCAAACCCAGTTGGAAATAATTACGCACTGGGAGAACGGCAGGAGAGAACTCAGGCTGAGTGCTGGAGGCTCAGCCTGTAATCCCAGCTACTCAAGAGGCAGAGATCAGGAGGATCATGGTTTGAGGCCAGCCTGGGCAAATAGTTTGCAAAACCCTATTTCAAAAATACCCTACATACAAAGGGGCTGGCAGAGTGGCTCAAGTGGTAAATCACCTGCCTATCAAGTTTAAGCGTGAAGCCCTGAGTTCAAACCCCAGTATGACCAAAAAAAAGAAAAGAGAAATCCAGAGAAAGTATGTAAAGTACCCACCGTGTGATAGGGACTGTGGTAGGTGCTGGCTGAAAAACAGACCTGGCTCTTGTCCCCAGTAGAAGAGGTCCCCATGACAACCCAAAGTGGTGAGAGCAGTGTCACAAACAGAGGATGTGGTGTACAGGAAGGGATTGTCAACCTTTGGTAGTGGAGGGGAAAGACCTTTAAAGAATTTTTAAAGGAAAATGAATTTCTTATTGTACAAGTTTTTTTTTTTTGTTTTCAGTGTTGGGGGTGCAATCCAGGGCCTCAGGACTGTATGTGCTCTGCACTGAGCCACATCCCAACTTCTTTTTTTGAGACAGGGTGTCGCTGTGTTGCCCAGTGTAGTCGTGAACTTGCAGTCCTGCCTCAGCCCCTCAAGTGTTGAGATTATAGGTGTGTACCACCACACCTTGTTTTTCATTGCCCTTTCTTTTTTCTTTTTTTGGCAGTCCTGGGGATTGAAATCAGGGCCTCATACTTGCTACCACTTAAGCAATGTCTCCAGTCTTTTTGCTTTTAGCTTGTTTTTTTTCAGATATGGTCTTGTGCTTTCATGCTGGCCTACAATTCTTCTCCATCTACCTTGCAGTTATCTAGGATTATAAATGTGAACCACCACACCCAGCTTCTTTGTTGAGATAAGTTTGTGCTAACTTTTGTCCAGCTGGCCTCCATGTATGATTCTCTTATCTGCATATAACTGGGAATGCAGGTGTGTCTTTTCATTGCTTTTAAAAAATGAAAATTGTCCATATGAACTTAATTCTTAGCTTTCTCCTCTACTTTTAAAATACTGCTTGGCACTTGAGCAGAGAAAGTGTGCAGTGCCAGTGGTGAGATGCAGTATGAAAAGATGCATCTTGCCCAGTCCAGTGCAGGTGATTCCAGATCCCCTGAGTGACTGTCATGGCTGGAACTTGCAATCAGGAGCTGGTCTTGGTTTGGTGTGATGATGAGAATCTTTGGGGATGGAATGTCTAGCTTCTGCTTACCTGAAGTGTGTCCCGAGTGGGGGGTAGCTGAGTCTTCAGTAAGCCCCATAGGTCACTGGGACACTACTGATGATGAAGGTCATTGAAGTAAGGCCCAAGCTAGTCTCCAGCGTGTGTGGGTGCAGGTCTGATTACTTTGTGGCTGGCTTTCAATGCCATTGTGTGAGAATGAGGTATAACCACCACATCAAGCAAACTCAGTTTAGCGGAAAGGCCCTGGTGGTAATAGACTTAAACAGGAAGATTGTTTCCAGTGTACATAACCTGGCAAAGGCTGTGGACTGAGTTTCTGCAAAGATTAAAAAGCAAGCATGAAAACCGTCTGCCTCCCAAGGGAGACCGAGAGTGTCATCCTGGCTGAAGCCGGAGGATGGAGTGGAGGCCAGGTTTCGCTGCTCACTCCTGCCCTTTACGCACAAAGACACTTACTTTTAATATTGGCTAGAAAATAATGTTACAGATTAAAATCCCTGTATGTCTCTATCCTAGCATTCTGGCATCCCTTCACTTCTGGGGTCAGGGCCCTCCTGTCAAGGGGGAGCTGAGGCAAGTAGGAGGGGGCTTGGGAGGCAGCACTGGTTGGCCCTGAGGCCTCTTGGAGCAGCCGGGCATTCTCAGGACAGTTGAGATTAGCAAGTTTCCCAGGAAATGCTTTTCACAGTAGCTTTTTTCCATTTTATTTTGTTTTTTAGTTTCTCTGTTTTACACTCAGTTCTCACAAAAGGTTAAGGTAAAAAATCTGAACTGAATGGCAATGACATTTTGCTGTCTTTAAATTTCCCTCTTTTAAACATGTGCAGTTTAAACATGAATGCTGTATTACACTGAAGTCATTCTTTTGGTTGTTGTTTTTTGACCTTCCAATGTTCAAAAGGAAAAAAAAGACATTGCATGTAACTGGTGTCACTGGGATGTTTTACAGGCTAGATTGAAACCTGTTTTATTGGCTCGTGGTTATTTTGTTTTGTTAGTGATCAGTTCACACAGTGAGGAAATGTTATGGAGTCTCTCCTGTTTTTTTTTTTTTTGTGGTGCTGAGGTTTGAATTCAGGGCCTCACACTTGGTAGGCAGGCGCTCTACTTCTTGAGCCATGTCCCAGCCCTTTTTGCTCTGATTATTTTAGTGATAGGGTCTCACTTTTTGCCCACATCAACCTGAACGTATTTTAACTGGGATGTCAGGCACGTACCACCACGCCCAGTTTTTTTCCACTGAGATGGGCTCTTGAAAGCTTTTTTTTGCCAGGACTGGTCTGGAGCCATGATCCTCTCCATCTCACCTCCTGAGTAGCTTGGGACATAGGTACCCGGCTTCTCCTAAATTCTTTATTGGATATCATGACACACATAACTTTTAGTGTCTCTTTCAGTAATGTTTTTCTACCCACATTGGTGGGAACTCTGTTAATTCTTCTTAGAAAGGATAAGGCAAATATCGTGACTGGTGTGTGTCTTTTTTCTTATTTAGTGTATTTCTTTGACCAATCCCAGTGATAGGATTCTGAATTAAAGATGTCAGGCTTCCTTTTCTTACCAGCACAGAGGTATGCTCATGGCTGTAACTTATTACAGTGGAAGGATATGGAGCTCGGGTAAAATCAGGAGAAACCCAGCACAAGGTTCCAAGGTCCTCTTAACGCCCTGCGCCCTGCGGGGAGTGTGACACAGCTGTGAAGTGTCTGTGAGGAAGGGCTTTTCCTGAGGGCTGGTCACATGGCACCCTCTGCCTAGCACATGGCAGAGTCCAGACTCCAGGAAGGAACGCAGATGTTCAGCATAACCTCACTGTTGTTAGACAGTAGAGGCACAGGCTTCCTCCTCACTGCTCAGAGTGCTGCGTCCTGCCTAAAATCCCAAGGGCAGGCCCAGCCACGGAAGGCCTTCAAGGAAGCCAAGGAAGATGGCAGTCAGGTCACACCTGCATGTCTTAGAAACCACTGAGACCTTGGCTGGCTCTTCTTGTCCGTTTCTTTATCTGCTTGTGTATCATTACTAGTCACGTCTGCTCGACTTTTAGACATGTGCTCTGAGTAGTCCCCCAAGCAGTTCTGGATCTTCAGCTCCTTATGGTACATCTGCCTAATGCACTGCCAGCCCTTCTCACCAGAGATCAAAGACTAAAGTCATCATCTTCCCTTTGACATGTGTTTCCTCCTGTTTGCCATGGTGAACTTCTAGAGCAGTTTCCTTTGAAATGTTCCTTGTACCTCTCTTCTCTCCACACCCACCCCCGCCAGTGTCCACTGCCACCAACCTGGATGTGTCTTCACCTCCCACTATACTTACTGGACGCAGCCTCCCAACTCCCATGTGACTGGCATTGCTAAACATCCCTTTCCTGTCACTTTGATGTGGGACCCAAGCCTCCCCTCCTGCAGTACTCCCCTCCTCCAGTACTCCCTCCTGCAGTACTCCCCTCCTCCAGTACTCCCTCCTCCAGTACTCCCTCCTGCAGTACTCCCTCCTGCACTACTCCCCTCCTCCAGTACTCCCTCCTGCGGTACTCCCTCCTCCAGTGCTCCCTCCTGCAGTACCCCCTCCTGCAGTACTCCCTCCTCCAGTACTCCCTCCTGCAGTGCTCCCTCCTGCAGTACTCCCTCCTGCAGTACTCCCTCCTCCAAAGCTCCCTCCTCCAGTACTCCCTCCTGCACTACTCCCCTCCTCCAGTACTCCCTCCTGCAGTACTACCTCCTGCAGTACTCCCTCCTGCAGTACTCCCTCCTCCAGTGCTCCCTCCTCCAGTACTCCCTCCTGCAGTACTCCCCTCCTCCAGTACTCCCTCCTGCAGTACTCCCTCCTGCAGTACTCCCTCCTCCAGTACTCCCTCCTGCAGTGCTCCCTCCTTCAGTGCTCCCTCCTGCAGTGCTCCCTCCTGCAGTACTCCCCTCCTCCAGTACTCCCTCCTCCAGTACTCCCTCCTGCAGTACTCCCTCCTGCAGTACTCCCCTCCTCCAGTACTCCCTCCTGCAGTACTCCCTCCTGCAGTGCTCCCTCCTGCAGTACTCCCTCCTGCAGTGCTCCCTCCTGCAGTACTCCCTCCTCCAGTATCCCCTCCTGCAGTACTCCCTCCTGCAGTACTCCCTCCTGCAGTACTCCCTCCAGTGCTCCCTCCTGCAGTACTCCCTCCTGCAGTGCTCCCTCCTGCAGTGCTCCCTCCTGCAGTACTCCCTCCTGCAGTACGCCCTCCTGCAGTGCCCCCTCCTCCAGTGCCCCCTCCTGCAGTGCCCCCTCCTCCAGTGCTCCCTCCTCCAGTGCTCCCTCCTGCAGTGCTCCCTCCTCCAGTGCTCCCTCCTGCAGTCTCCCTCCTGCAGTGCTCCCTCCTGCAGTGCTCCCTCCTCCAGTGCTCCCTCCTGCAGTGCTCCCTCCTGCAGTGCTCCCTCCTGCAGTGCTCCCTCCTGTAGTGCTCCCTCCTCCAGTGCTCCCTCCTGCAGTGCTCCCTCCTCCAGTGCTCCCTCCTGCAGTACTCCCTCCTGTAGTGCTCCCTCCTCCAGTGCTCCCTCCTCCAGTGCTCCCTCCTGCAGTGCTCCCTCCTGCAGTGCTCCCTCCTCCAGTGCCCCTCCTGCAGTGCTCCCTCCTGCAGTACTCCCTCCTCCAGTGCCCCCTCCTGCAGTGCTCCCTCCTGCAGTACTCCCTCCTCCAGTGCCCCCTCCTGCAGTGCTCCCTCCTGCAGTACTCCCCTCCTCCAGTGCTCCCTCCTCCAGTGCTCCCTCCTGCAGTGCTCCCTCCTCCAGTGCTCCCTCCTCCAGTACTCCCTCCTGCAGTGCTCCCTCCTCCAGTGCTCCCTCCTGCAGTACTCCCTCCTGCAGTGCTCCCTCCTGCAGTGCTCCCTCCTGCAGTGCTCCCTCCTCCAGTGCTCCCTCCTCCAGTGCTCCCTCCTGCAGTGCTCCCTCCTCCAGTGCTCCCTCCTCCAGTGCTCCCTCCTGCAGTGCTCCCTCCTCCAGTGCTCCCTCCTGCAGTGCTCCCTCCTCCAGTGCTCCCTCCTGCAGTGCTCCCTCCTCCAGTGCTCCCTCCTGCAGTGCTCCCTCCTGCAGTGCTCCCTCCTCCAGTGCTCCCTCCTGCAGTGCTCCCCTCCTCCAGTGCTCCCTGGCCACTTCCTTGCCCCTAGATGGGTTTTGCCTTTTCTCGCTTCTCTGCCTGGCCGTGGGAATCCAGCACAAATCACACCTTCGCCCCAGGCTTTCTCTGGCGCCTCAGTCGGGATCTCTGCCACATGCTCCTCAGCATCTATTTGGTACTCCCGCTCTGCTGTTCAGTGGCCAGGTAGCCAGGGTTAGGGTCACAAGAAGCGGAAGCCAGTTCTCTAAGCAGAAGAAAAGTTTCGTACGTGATACTGAGCAGCTCTCAGAAGCCCAAAGCCAGGCCAGGGGACAGCGTGGCTGCAGACACGGAGTCATGACGCCTCACAAAGAGCTGTCTCTTGTCCACGTGGTACAGTGGCACTGGCAACATCCCCAGTGCCACCAATCCTCTGGCCTGGTGACTGGGTCCCCTAGCCAGAGTGAATTCTGCATCCCTGTGCTGCTGCTTGTCTCCAGTTCTAACTTGAAGTCTAAGCTAGGGTCCTGGTGGACAGTGCTGTCCATGCCCTTCCCTGTTCAGACATTTTCCGGAGAGGGAGGGGGCCTGGCTTCAGACGGCCATACAGAGCGTACCATTCATTCCATCTGAGTAGCCCCCGACTACGCTGTGGACTTCACAGTGCCCGTGCAGCTTTCTAGCTACAGTCTGCCTAATAGCTAGCCTGCATACAGCAGTAATCACCAAAAAGCAAAGCGAGGTGAATCAGCTAGGCTGTTTTGGCAAGCAACAGCAAACCTGAGCAGGGCTTACCCCATGTACTGTCTACTCTGTATTTCTACCCGCAGCAGTGTTTCATACAAGTGACAGTGGTCTGTGATGCATCAAAGCTGCTGACCCCAGCACCCTCCCCCCTGTGCACAGGAGCAAGTGCTGGTGGGTTCACAAGTGGGCCACAAGGCATTTGAGCCCCTATTGTGGGATTCCAGAAGAGTTGAGTATAGCTGATGGAATTTGGGATCATTTCCAAAGCAGGAGGCAGCCAGAACTCTGAGCATGGCTGTTTCTAAGACTGGAACAGATTGTTCATGGTTGTGAACAAGTGAGAAGAGTGGATTGTTTGGTCTCCAAAGGTTCTTTCCATCCCTAATAGTAAATATGTAATTAAAAAATCATTTTTATGGCTATAAAATATAAGTGCTTATTTCAGAAATGTGAAAATATCAAAATATATACAGGAGAAAATTTAAATCCCACCTCCCACAAAAACTATGGCACCGTTTGTGGCTTGTTTCATCAGTGTTCTTGTTTGAGTGTTTTTTCACATCATCTTAGTTGAAATCATAGTACATGTAGTTTTGTAGGTTACTCTCTGAAATGAAACAGTCAGCCAGGTGTGGCACTTGCCTACAGCCTTGCAGTCCCAGCTACTTGGGAGGCTGAAGCAGGAGGATCACTGGAGCGCAGGAGTTAGAGGCCAGCCTAGGCAGCATAGCAAGACCCCATCTCAAAAGAGAAGAAAACAAAGCCACAACTGAATGTGATCTAGTATGTGTAAAATTTGAAGTTGCAAGAACTGTCCTTTTATGAAGAGATTTACACTATACGAGATACTGCTTTGTACCCTCGTGCCAGGATCACAGAGGTTCCCCGACCCAAAAGAGCTCAGGGAAGGAATGAACAGACAACACATATATAGAGAGGACCAGAAGGCTGATGACCACTCTGGCAAATTTTTTATTTTTGCATCAGGCTTATAAGCAGTACAAAGCAGGAAGTTATACAATGCAAGGAGAGTTTCTATGCCTGGGAAACAGTGCCCTCTACCTGAAAAACAACGTTCTTGCTCCAGTCTCCTAGGTTTCATCAGCGAAACCTGGACCCTCTTAGTTTCACTAACGAAACCCAGACCTCCCTGTTTTCACCTGGTTTGACGTACACAAAACCCGGTCCTGGTTGCCAAGGGCATGTCACCTGTTCCTAACCTTTCATAAACAAATACCTTCAGGTTAATGTTTCTTTTCTCTGGACAAAGGGAGCCACCCTATGTTCCCTCAGAACCCCAGTGAAAGACATGGTGCACTTGCAGCCTCTGACCTTGTCAGATTGCAGCTCATGACTCCCAACGCCCTTGGAATCAGCTGTGGCTGAAAGACCAGGGAAAATGTAACCCTATATTCTCTACTGCCACTCACCTACCATGTAGCTGTGGCTGTGGCCTTGCAGCCTGCTCCTGCCTCAGGGTTCCAGCGGGAATGGGCTTCCATGATTTCTCTCGTCTTACTGATGGCAGCAGGGCACTCACTGCCGCAGCCCACAGCTCAGCAGCAGTGGCTTCTGCTCTGCGGGAGGTCTGCTGGATCCCAGGTTCCAGGTTGCTGGGAGTTCATGCATTCTCAGTAGCTACTGATCATCCCTCACCCCTGCCCAGGCCTGCCTGTGAGCCTCAGCGTCCAGCAGAGCTGGGTGCAGACAGAATCCAAAGGCCTGTGACTGGGGCCAATGCAGTCAGCCCGGGAACTGGAAAAGGCTGCTCAGAGAAGAGGGCTTGAACTAAGACACAGAGCACACCAACCTCCAACCTGCAGCACTTTTGTTTTTTATATTCCTGTATTTATTGACTTACTTGAGACAGGGTCTCGGTATGTAGCTCAGGCTGGCCTCAAATTCCTAATCCTCCTTCCTCAGCCTCCTGAGTGCTGGGATTTCAGGCATGCACCACCAGGCCCAGCTTCACTTTGTCATATTTTTAGGTTGCGCCTCTTGTTTTATGTCCTGTCACTTGATCAGAGCCACCTAGTGTAAGCTGTAACGTGTATGTTGTCTCTTGGGTAGTGAGGCCTGGCCTGCACGTCCTGCTCAGAGGCTGCAGAGTGAAGGTCAATGTGGTTGTGCTGCAGGAGCTACAGTACATAGCACTGGTCTGTGGTGGCAGGATGGTGGTGGAGTCATCTCTAGGACCTGACAGTAGACAGGTCCCCCCAAAAATGAGGAGCAGGCAGAGACTGGGGCACTCACAGGGTGACTGTTGCTGCTCTTGGCTGTGGACTGGATCAGGCTCCAGAGCACTCTTCAGACATGCAGCTCCACGGTCTCCATTCTCAGGCCTGGAACCCCATGGCCTTGTGCCTCAGGTGGTCTCAGGTCTTCTGTTGGGAGCATCTGTGAGATGGTAGGGAAGGGGGGAGGAAGGCATTCCAACAAGTTCTTCATTCTAATTTCGGAATTAGCATATTAAGGGGAAGTTTTAGTTCATGAAGCTCTCAGTCAAATAGAAAATTATGCAAGTAGTATTTATCTTGTGTCTTTTCCCAGAAAGCAGAGTGATTTGTAGTATTCTAGCCCTGTTGTTCCCGTGTAGTTTTTTTTTTTTTAGTACTGGGATTTGAACCTAGGGCCTCGCACATGCTAGGCAGGCACTTTATCACTGAGCTAACAGCCCCAGTCCTTATAGCTGCTTGAAAATACCACATTCTGAGATTTATGTGCAACCTTTGAAGATGTAGTCTTTTTCTGTGTCACTGAGTTTTGTTATGATTACTTCATTAGTAATTCTGTTTATGTAAACACACATTTGTTGACATTTTTCCCCTCAGAGGATCCCCTATGTTGGCACCATTTCTGAGCAGCTGAGGCCGGGATCTTTGATCGTGATCCGAGGGCATGTTCCTAGTGATGTGGACAGGTAAGATCCTCGTGCTAGAGGGAAGATCACGGATAAACTTTGTCTTTGTGATTGTGCAATAAAAGCAAAAAGCAGTGTGGAGGTTCCGATTTGGTGGCTTCCCTGAGCACCTGCTCCAGGTGTAAACTCTGAACTGGAGTGTTGGTTACAGTGGGGCTCAGCTCTGTGTGACTGACATCCAGAGGTCACTGGCTGGAGAAAGATGTGGGGCTTATTTCCAGGAGACACCCTAAGCTTGGCAGTCATTCCGAGCAGTTATTAGAGAAGCCAGCTCCTGGCCTGGCAAGGTGGTGGGGAGTGTCCTTTTTCTCAGGACTGTCAGCAGCCAGAACTCCATCCCCATCTGAGTGGCTGGGTGTGTGCATGCAGGGTGGATGGAGGCAGGTGCTGGCTCTTAATGGTTTCCAGGGTGCCCATGTGTACTGGCCAGCAGAGCTGTCACCACTCAGGCAAGCCCAGCTACCAGGTCAGGGCTCAGTTACTGAGGAAGAGAAAAGCAAGACTGGGCAGCCTACCCTTGAGCCTGGCAAGGGGATTGCTTGCCACTGGCCAGGGTGCCTGCTGGGCCTGTGGATGAAGGAAAGAGGTCACCCACCCCTGGCCTTTCCTGGAGTGGCCTCTGATGGCTCATGTGGCCCCATCTTTTCTCACACAGATTCCAGGTGGACCTGCAGTGTGGCAGCAGTGTGAAGCCTCGAGCCGACGTGGCCTTTCATTTCAACCCTCGCTTCAAAAGATCCAACTGCATTGTTTGCAACACTCTGACCAATGAGAAGTGGGGCTGGGAAGAGATCACATATGAAATGCCCTTCCAGAAAGAAAAGTCCTTCGAAATCGTGGTCATGGTGCTGAAGGACAAATTCCAGGTGGGTTCTGTGTGGGTCTTGCTAGGGAGAGGATTCACCTGCTCACGCCGAGCAAAGACCCTGGCTCTGCAACCGCCTGCAACGCCCATCAGGTGCTAAGTGAGCAGTCACTGCCACCCTCTCTAGCCAGTCCTGCCATGCAGTGCTGTGCAGGACACAGGTCCTGTGTGGCCACCTTCTCCTAGGGCCACTTCTCCCAGCAAGGCTGAGCTCCAGACTGATACAGCATCCTGTTAGTTATGGGAGAAGGGATGACAGCCACCACCCCCAAAGTGGAAGGGAGATCCAGAAGGAGCAGACAGGTGACCCAGGGTGCGGACTAGAGGCTTTGGGAAGTTAAGTCTCCCACAAGATGGTGCTGAGAGGATCACAGCGTGGCCCTTGGCCCCCTGTGGCATGTGTGTGGCAGACATTGTTCCTGTGGCTCTCAAGCCCGCAGAGCTTCTGCAGACTGGAGACCTGATGGCTCCAGTGAGGACTCACAGCTCAGTGTGGGACAGGACATTGCTCTGAGGACCTCACTCAACCCTCTGGACTGTGCTCACCTCACCCTTTTCTGCCTTTTAGAGCCTGCATCAGTGTGTCTGTCCGTGTCCTGCGGGGCTTGGTCTGTCCTGGGTGTATCCCCCACTCCCTGAGTGAGACCCCACTGTGTGCTGCTTGTTTCCTGTGTGTCCCCTCACCGGCTCCCCAGCATCTGGAGAGAGAGGGGCCATGTGTCCTGACCCCTGTGCTGTGTGGAGGATTCACTGAAGTCATTCTGTCACCTCCTCACACCTGCAAGGCCATTGAGGTTGAAGTCGCCCTATAGATGAGCACTGAGCTTGACAAGTTCCATGGTTAGCAGACTCCAAGTGCACTTGTTACGCATCTGCTGCGTGCGTGGTCTCTGCTCACGTTCCTCAAGGACTTTAGGGGAGGGGAAGCCCCAGGTGTTGCTCCTGTGGGCCGTGAACCACGCACAGGTGCACACACACACATGCACACACATTCCTGAGTGCACGTGTCTGTCTGGGGAAAGCTGTCCAGGTGTTTAATCGGCTCAGGAACCTAAAAGCTCAGGAGCACTGCTGCTGCAGCCACAGTGATCAGATGTGAGGGGAGACCTGGAGGCAAGGTATAACACGCAGCCTGAGGACACGTTTCTTTGTCCCTGCAGAGCTGGGCATGGAAGCCAGGGCTTCCTGCTTGCTAGGCAAGCTCTGTGCACCTCGCTCCATCCCCACCCCTAAGGAAACATTTGAATTTGGAGAATACGTTCATGTGCTAATTGTGTTTGGGGGCCTGTCACTGTGTCCATCCAGGTGGCTGTGAACGGGAAGCACACGCTGCTCTACGCCCACAGGATCAGCCCAGAGAAGATAGACACACTGGGCATCTACGGCACAGTGAACATCCACTCGGTTGGCTTCAGCTTCAGCTCGGTGAGCACCCTTCCGCAGCCACATAGCCTGTTGGGACAAAAGGATGTAACAGTCTCCCGCATTGAGGACTGACCTCCTGGAAGTGACTTTCAGACTGGCTGGATGCTTCTCCCTGACCAGGCCGTTATTGCCTGGGGACCTTAAATCTAGGACAGTTCTGGCAAAACAAACCTTTTAGCTGAATCATGTGTTCCTTCCCATGGGAGCATGCGTGCTTCTGTAGGACAGCTTCCTAGATGCAGGCTGGTTAAGTTTCTTGGTCATGGCTAACTTGTCCCAAAGATGAAGCCGGTCTGTGCTCTGGACAGCCATGCCTGGCGCTGTCGTCTTGTCATTCTGGATCTCAGTCTCTGTAATGCTTGCTGACTGGGGGCCCCAACTGTCAGGCACACTTTCAGATCCTAACTTTCAGTCATTTTTCACACCAAGTACCATTGGCCATTTTCTGGTATGTTAAACAAGTATTTTCAAAAGATGTTCTGAAGATGTTACAGTGTTACTCTGTATTATCTCTTCTGCAGGATTTACAAGGTGCCCAGGCATCGGCTCTAGGACTGACAGAGTTAAACCAAGAAAATGTAAATATTAAACCTCTTAATGATGTTGGTTTAAAATATGTTTTTAGTTGTCATGGGTGAGAGGAGGGTGGGTTTTAAAAAATTCTGTTTTTAATATGAGGCCAGTATAGCAGCAGTCATGCAGGAACTGAGGCGTGTACTTCAGATGGTCTCGCTGTTTCACTGATGGGAAGCCTGTCAGTTTAAATGACCGCCATCCCATCCCCGCCCCCACCACCCCAACCCCGTCTTGTAAACGTGCCTCATGCCTACCTGTGAACAGTCCTGTCTGCTGCCAGGCTTTGTAAATACTGAACTTCACCCCTGTGGGAACAAGGGTGGCTTGAAAATTGCATCTTTGCTGTTCATAATGGTGATTATAAACAGGCTCAATGTTTGGGGGCACTGCAAGGGATCAGTAACATATTTGAAGCTCTTGTGCAGTCCTGTGAAAAATACTTGCTTTATGGTGGAACATAAAGGGTTCCAGTGAACAGGGCTGTCAACTCCGTTCCAGGCTCAGTTGCCCTGCAGTTGCACTGGCTGCCTGTGTTGTGCCCAGGCACAGCGGGCACTGATCTGCATACTGGGGATGGCCAGGCTCAGCTCAGTAACCAGATCATCCTGCTCATGGGATGAAATGTCTTTCTGTACACGTGCTCATTGTTCTTCCTCTCCCAACAGGTGCAAAAGCCTGGCATCTCTCACCTCGTAAGTATGCTCTTGCTTGATTGCAAGTGGGACATTTTGTGAGTTGCCTGGGAAATGAGCAGCGCGGCCTGGGAGGCAGCTCCACTTCTGCACTCCTGACCGGGGTGTTTCCCTGCAGCCTAGTGCTAGAGAAGGGGACTCTTCTAAAATCATACCGAGAACCGTCTACACCAAGAGTGGAGATCTGACTGTGAACCACACTCTCACTTGCACCAAAATCCTTCCTATCAACTCTTTGTCAAAGGTGTGGAGAGCAGAAAGCTTCTTAACACTGTAGAAATTAAGTGATAATTGGCTGTTTTGTGTAACCTTCACCCCAAGTAGAATGTCAAAGCTGCCCCCGGCGTTTGTCTGCTGTCCCTGGGCAGATCTGAGTGTCTGCCAGGCCACCAAGTGTGTGTGTCTGACCTCCTCCTAGTTAGAATACAGACCCAGGCACTGGTGGCTGTGCTGGAGTATCACACACAGGAACCACTCCATGTCCCCCAGTCATTGAGTGTGTACTGTGAGCTGGCACAGGACCAGTACAGGGGACCCAGCTGGGACCACAGCAGGCTTCACCCTCTCACGGGGTCCCCGGGCCCTATAGCCATTCTCGGGGTGTTTGGACAGTTCTCTTCCGGATCCCCTTCTGCAGCTGCCTGCCTCTGACTGTGGCTTCTTTGCAGAGCCTGCCGTTCAAAGCAAGGCTGAACTCCTCCATGGGCCCCGGAAGGACAGTTGTCATTAAAGGAGAAGTGAAAACAGATGCCAAAGGGTGAGCTTCCCCGTATTACTGGTGACAACATGAACGCTGCTGCCACCGTCCTGCACCTCTGTGGGCTTGAGGGATTGAGTTGAATTAAATTGGTGTCGTGTCCTCCTGTGACATCAGACCTGTGAAAGCGTGATGAGGATACACTGCTAACAAGCTGGAGGCCAATCACGACTGAAGTCCATGTACTGACTGAGGCCTCCTCTGTCCATGAGGTCCCCCTTGCCTTGTAGCACCCCAGGCAGCCCCAGGTTAGGCATCTCTTTTTAGGGCCCCCTCATACCTGGTGACTTAGACAATTTCTACGTTAAGAACTTTTTCCAACCAGCTAGACATGGTGACATACACCTGTAATCCCAGCACCTCAGAGGCTGAGGCAGGAAGCTCGTGAGTTTGAGGCCAGCCTAGGCTGCATAGTGAGATCCTGTCTCAAAAAGGTAAAAAATAATAATGAATAAAATAAAAAGAACCTTTTCCAAGATGTCCAGTCCTGCAAGTTTGAGACAAGAGCTGCTTCCTGACAATAGCCTGTTTTCCTGGCTCAGAGAGGCCTTGCTGAGGGCCTGGCTTCAGCACCCAAGAAGCCCTGGGTGTCCTAACACAGGCTTCAGTTGTGCCTGACAGCCCCAGCCCCCACACGGATACGAGGGTCTCTGTATTTTACAAATTTTGCAGTGTCGCCCCCTTTCACTTTTCATACGTATCCAGTTCTAATGTAGTTCAAGTCTGAGGGCTAGTCCCAGAGTCTGCCCGTCCTCTTTCCTCCTTGACTAATTACATGTTTCTCTCTCTTGAAAGCTTCAGTGTCGATCTAATGGCAGGAAAATCGAAGGACATTGCTCTACACTTGAACCCACGCCTGAAAACCCAAGCATTCGTGCGAAATTCTTTTCTCCAGGGGGCCTGGGGAGAAGAGGAGAGGAGTAGCACCTGCTTCCCATTTAGTCCCGGCATGTACTTTGAGGTAAGACTGTGGTTTTTGGAATGGGACGGGAAAAAAATCGTGGGAGTAGGGGCCGAATAAGTGCTCTGCCTCCGTCGAGTCCGGTGCATCGTGGGGGCTGTGCGAGGGCTTTTATTGGCGTAAAGACTGTAAATTCAGAGTCTTCTTTTAAAATATGGGACCTCGGCATAAATGGCGAAGCCAGTAGGGTGCCACGGTATTTGCACTGGGATTATTTGACATTCGTCATTATATTGAAAATGACCGTGTGGCCCCAAATAATACAAATTTTGGCAAGATGGGAACACATGTACTCAAGTGGACACAAGGATCCTTGAAACTGTGTGTCCGTCCTGTCCATGGCACGCGCAGCTCCACGAGGCAACCGTGCAAAGAACTGGTCCTGTTTGTGGATTTAGGGAGAATGTGCAGACGCCAGGACGTGAGCACTGTGGTGACACGCCCGCCCCAAAACACGCTTCTGGGAGTCGGAGGAGAATGAAGGCCCTTGACGTGGACGCCTGGCTGGCCGGGCTCACTCACTGCCTCATGACCACGGCTCACGGGGGGTGTCGTTTAAACTGGACGTGCTCTGGACCGTGCGGGCGCCCGTCACAGTTCATTGTTAAAAGCGTGGCCGTCAGGCTGAGGGTGTGGCTCGTGGCAGAGCGCCTGCCTCGCAACCGTGAGGCCCTGAGTTCAAGCCCAGTACCACCCAGAACAAAAGGTGAACATCACGGCTGAACAGACGATGGTGATTTCCCAGACGATGGGTTCATTCCCAAGGTCCCACCCGACGCAGCACCCCGGAATGGGGGCAGCACCCCGGAATGGGGGTAGCAGATTGGGCAGTCATGGAAGCCTCCTGAAGCTGTGGATATTGGTTTGGGACTCAGAAGGCTGGGAAGGGTGTGGAAAGCCAGGTTTAGGGCACGATTTGAACACGCCTCTAGAGGTGGCAAGGGTGGCACAGGACTTGTGGCTGGCAAGGGTCAGGACATTCAGGATAGCCTGGGGCTTGCTGGAGGGAGACACTTAGTACCCCAGGAAGTCGGTCCTTGCAGCTGGTGATAGGAAATCAGTGATGGAACTTGGTTTTGACCTATCAGGGCCCAAGTTTGGTGTATGGTATTAAAATTTAAAAAGGTAACAGTAGCTGAGTGTGATGGTATGCGCCTGTAATCCCAGCACTCAGGAGCTGAGGCTGCAGGATCAAGAGGCCAGGGCTGGGGTGTGGCTCAAGTGGTAGAATGCTGGCCTAGCATGTGGGAGGCCTTGGGTTCAAACCCTAGTACTGAAAAAAACAAAACCAAAACAAAACAAAAAAAACGAGAGAAGGAATTCAGGAAAAACACTACAGTGCAAATTAAAATATTTACTGCAACTTCACAGTCAGACAAATACCGCTGAGACCAGGCTGCTCTCCACTCTCTGAGGACAGAGTCGAAGGCTCGCTGGCTGAAGGCCCGAGTCCAGTTGGTGGTGGGCGGCGCCCTGCACTCCTGGGATCCTCAGTCATCTTTCCTCGTTAGTAATTACTAACGCTCGCTCGTACCCTCGGTGGCCAACACTGCTGTCGGTTTCCATGCTGATACTGTTTCCGGTTTCCCCAAACTTCTGATTTTCAATAGGCTGTTGACATTTTAGAACTTCCCACTCACTCTCATTTAAACAGGATATTCTTGCTGTTTCAAATTCACTTGGTAGAAATGCTGGCATATGACTGTAATCCCAGCACTCAGGAGACCGAAGCAGGAAGACTGCAAGTTCAAGGCCAGCCTGGTGACATATGAAACCGTATCCAAAAACAAATTCTTTAATATTTAAAAAAAAATTTATAGTGCTGGGAATGGAACCCAGGTACTGGCCTTTGCTAGGTGAGTGAGCTGTCACTTGAGCTATGTCCCAGCCCTTTTTGTTTTAGTTTGTTTTAGACAGAATTCTGTGCTTTTGCCTGGGCCAGCCTCAGGCAGTGATCCTTCTCTCTGCTTCTCATGTAGCTGGGATTACAGGCATGAACCACCATGCTGAGCTTGTTTATTGAGATGTAGGTGGCTTTTTTTTTTGCCCTGGCTGGTCTTAGACAGTGATCCCACTGTCTCTACCTCTCAAATAATTGGGATTACACGTGTGTACCACCATGCCCAACCCCACCCCATCTTTTAAGAACCTCTCATTCAGTACTGTAATTTCATTTGTATGCTTTTTTTTTTAAAAAAAAACCGTCACGTTGATGGTTTTACCAGCTGTTCTGAGCATCAGGTGGCTGTGGAGGATCTCTGTCCACTCTTCTGTGCTCCCCTTTGCTTTCTGCATGCAGCAGTGTGCTTGCCAGTTGTGTGCTAGTTCTACTTCTCTGTGCTGTCCCATTTGCTGATGTTCCCACGGGGTTTGCGTCCGTCTGGTGTCCTTCCGAGGCCTCCAGGCTGTGCTCCGCTCCCTGAGATGTCTCAACACACATCACTGAAGGCTCCTTCTACAGTCAGAACTGGGATTCATTCCCGCCGTTCTCAGTGAGATAGGGTCTCGGGATACAGTATTCCCGCTGCAGTACAGCTCTGGTTCTGGTCGTTTCTGTGGTCTGCACAGCTCCGCTGTCCTCCTTTCCCTTGGCAGCCATTTCTATTTTCTATTGCCAATCTTTGAAGATTCAGGTTTGGTGCCTCAGCCTGGCCTTTGGGGATGGGATGGGGTGGCAGCCAGGCCTGGCCACCCTGTGTTTGCTTTTGAAGCTTTGCCAGGGCAAGGAGCGCAGTGCAGGCCACCAGCTGGCACTGAGTGGGCTCGAAAGTGTAGGGTTAGGTGTGTAGTGCTTTAGGACCCGGGGCTCGAGGTGCTCATTTCGCTACCTTAGCAAAGCACTGGGCACCTGTCATCCGCTCCGAGCTGCTGACATTCCCTAGGGTGAGGCGTGAGGACAGTCAGGATCCAAGGCCCTTGGCTTCCACCTGCTGTTGGAAGCAGCTTCTCAGTGAATGAGGGTCAGGACGCCAGCTTTCCTCCTTCACTAGTTCCCAGTCTTCAGTGGTGCTGGGGGGGAGGGGAGGGGAAGCATGAAGTCAGAAGTCCATGGGCCCAGTGCAAGGCCCCAGTGAGAGACCACAGTGTAAGTGCCTCCTGCAGACACTCTGGCTTCAGGCCCTAGAAATCAGCACAGCAGGCTGAAGGGCTTCTAGGCACAAAGCAGGCCACCCGTTTCCTGACCGCCGTACAACAAATGAAAACTTTAAAACTGAGGAATCCCCTGGTGACCGTCTCATTTCCTCGTAGATGATCATTTACTGTGATGTCCGGGGATTCAAGGTGGCGGTGAACGGTGTGCACAGCGTGGAGTACAAGCACAGATTTCAAGACCTCGGCAGCATTGACATGCTGGAAATTGACGGCCACATCCACTTGCTGGAAGTAAGGAGCTGGTAGTCGCCAGGGCAGCCACAAAACCCAAAATACAAGTGGCTTCTGTGCTACTGGCCACATCAAAACACACCTCGCTCTTCCTACGCTGTCTATTCACTTGAGCCCATGGGACATGAATCCTGCTGGGCGTTCCTGACCTGGTGTGCAGTGTGACCACTTCCAGCTCCTAGGGGCAAACCTGGGGCAGTTGCAGCTCACATACAGCCAGCAAGGCTCCCCCTGCTTGGCCTCCTTCTAAACCAGATAAACAGGTAGCTAAGTGCCTACTGTACTGCAGTGGCTACCGTGCTAGCAGCTGGACACGAAGCAGGGTGGTACACAGCAGCAGTGCGCTCGCTGTTCTCTTCTCACAGAAGCTGAGACTTCTGTGTCCTACCATTGTGCGTGGTCTGCCTCCGGGTTCGTCAGGGTTGAGAGTTTCGCAGCCGTTAAGTCAGCTAAGCTGTTACTAGAAGACACTACTCCGCAGTGATCCCTTCAGGATCAGCACCTATCACTGGCAACCTTTAGCAGTCTCCTGGCTTTCTTGCACAGTTTTACAAAACAATTAACACTATGATAGCTGAACACAGCAGAAACATTAAGGCAAAAAGCAAATGTTGACATTAACTGATGTCATTCTTGAAGGCAGCTGATTCCTGTTGAGTCAAGGTCTGTGTACACCTAGGGGAAGTTTTTGGTGGAGGCTGGGCGGACACAGCTCCTAAGATACAAGTAGGTAGCAAAGTCATGTCAGATGAGACTTAGTGAGCACACAAAGCAGACGGCTATCAGGAAGCAGAGGCTGTTCCCGGGAGCCCACGGGAACCCAGGGGAGCAGGAGGCAACTGCTCTTACAAAGATTAGTCTATCACCATCAGCAATGGAGATCAAAACCTTGTTCTGCTTTAAGTGATTAAAATCAAACCTGTATCAGCAAGTTACACTGTTGCATTTCTGTAATTTTTGTTAGTTGAAGATTGCTGGCAGAAGTTCCGTGTAGATCCTTCACAGGTCAGATCTTGTTACAGGAGAGTTCAAAGGTTTGGATGTGGGCCATGGGGAGAAGCTCAATTGGTCCGATCATGTTACTGTACTAAACTCCTGGACAGAATGCCAGGATTTAGGAATAGTTTCCTAACAGATTTCGTTAGCTACTTATATTGATGTTGAAAAAAATACAGTATCAATCTTGGTTTTTTAAAAATCATTGTTGAAACTACTAGCTCTTAAGTCTTTTCTTATGTTAATTTATTAGGCCAAGTCCTGCCAAACTCAAAAAGATGCGGGGAGGGGACAGTGAGTTGTAGGAGGGAAGAGGGCTCTGCAGTCCCCCACGGTCATTTCTTCATAAAGAACGCTAGTGGAGGATGCCATGCTGGAGACTGACAGGCACTTAGGGAAGATAAAAGCACACTCCTACTCTGTTCTCAGAGTCTTAAAAATTCATTTTTATTTGTGTGCAGCTAGTAAGACTGACTCATCGATAGATGGTTTAATTTTATTTGAGCCCTCCCTCACTTTTCAGCTTCACCATCACATAGAACTGGAGATTAGAGAATTTAAGATGTACTGATACCTCCTCACATGAGCAATTCTGAATTCACCACCAGAATGTGCTCACTTGTAACTGTGGAGGGAGGGAGGCTCCCTCCCGCCGCCTACGTTCAGGCCCATTTGTGTGAAGAGCCCCGCATGGGTTGTTCCACAGGCAGTTGCCTCCTCCCTCCCCACAAAAGAGGAAAAGACAAAGGAGACAATCATAGTTTGAGCTAAAAGTGCATTCCAGAACTGCCTCAAGGCACACACACAAACTCAGGCTGAAGTGTCACTCTACGCAAAATGAAAAGCAAAAACTCATACGGCGTTAGTAAATGAACTGCATCAAGTGCAAATGCTGCCATCTTCTTGAGTAGAGTGACTCTGAAGGAACCCCGAACAGGGGCTCCGTGTACACGAGACACCGCTGAGCACACGACACAGACCAGGGAGGGAGGGCTTCACGCCCAAGGAGCGACAAACACAGTCTGTGTTAAAGACATCTCATTTAATCTTTAGCAATTTTGTACAAAATGGCAGGAGATGCTTCTGTGACAGCCCAGACCAGGCGGGGATTCTGAAGAAGTCATTAAATATCTGCAGGTGTGAAAGCACCAAAAGTAACATGGCACCAAACACCCCAAATGAAAATATAAAGGTAAAAAAGCCTGCTCAACAAAGCAGGCTTCAGAAGTAGCTCTGCAGCGGCTCCCCGAGCGTGGCCTCCAGTTGCTGAATGGTCTTTTGGCACTGATGCTCAACTTCTTCACATTCATCTAGAAAATGAAAACTCAAGAATTAAAAGCAGGTCCACCAGCCACCCTGCCTCAGTGAGGCTGGCCCAGTCCTGACTGTCGTTCTCTGGCGATGGCGCATTGCTCCCTTCTGCCTCCACTCCCTTCAGGTAGGGCTGGGAGGCTAAGCCAAACCCAGCTGTCAAACCCAAGGTGCTGCTATGCTGTAGGGCCCCCATAGCCCCTTGCCGGGTCACACACAGGATGACATACATGCCTCTGTGCAGGACACACAGTGAACCACTGATAGGAAAACACTGTCTCCTTGCCACCATCCCCTTGTAATAAGAAGGATCGTGCTCAGGACCTATGTTCCAGCACGGTGCATTTGGACTGTTTAAGCCAGCACCACCAGTGACACTCACTGGCTTAGACAGTAATCCTCCCATTTGTGCTCCTCTGCTTATCTGGTGTGACAGGCACACATCACTGTGCACAACCACTGGTTGAGATGGGGGTCTCTCAAACTTTTTTGTCCAGGCTGGCCCTGAACCACGATCCTCCCGGTTAGCTAGAGTACAGGGTTTACCGTGCTTGGCAGAGTTTCCTCCTTTCTAAACAGGAACAGTGCTGTTTATCCCAGTGAGGACGAAGTGAGATCACCCGGTAAAGCTCCTGACCCTGAGCACCAGACAAGTGCTGATCATCGTTATGATGGATGTTAGACTGCATCCCAGTGACACTGGGGACCAAAATGATCATATAAACGTATGAGGTAGTCTGTATGAGCACAAACCCCACAGGCGTGAAGCCAGTGAGAGTGCATGAGTGATGAGAACCTCAGATGAACAGGTGGGGCTCCTGACCCACAACCCAGCCTGGGAACACGGCAGGCCTGGACCTGCTGCGAGTCACAACATCCAAACCTGTGGCCCCATCAGGCACACTCACACAGAATTTTACCCTAATTATTGCTTAACACTTCAGGAATTACCTTCCATCAATTCTGCTAGGAAAGGAATGGATTCTGGTAGCAGGACAATGTAATTCTCCTTCAGTTTTTCAGCCAGTGCTAACACAGTAATCAAGGCTGCAAACCGCACCTGGCAGGAGTAAGAAAGAATTTTTATTTGTTTATTGCTGTAATTACTATTGTAAGTCCTGAACTGACTGGAGAAGAGCTCTTTTTTAAACCAGATGTTCTTTCATGTGTTTTTATTTCACTCTATCACCCTGCCCATTCAGCTCCCATCTTATTTAATCTAGATCCGTCTATAATAAATCTTATAAATCAGTATTTCTCAAACTGTTCCAGCTCTTTAGTGTGAATGTCTTTTAATGTTATTTTCCTTTAAGAAAAACACTAACATAAAATGTCACATGCAAACTTCAGTGTGTCACCAAACTTAACTGCACCAGAGCTGGATAATCCATTGCATTGCCTGAGGTGGTGCCAACATGGCAGTTTCTGCAAGACCCAGTCCCTCACCGTGGTCACCATTTCAGTGGTGTGAGGAGCTGGGGCACCTACTTGGGTTACACTGTCTCCTCAGCAATGAAGAAAAGTCACATGAGATTTTCTTGATGTTGTGCAACTAAGATACAATACTAAAATATACCTGATGCTACATCTTATGTAACAACCTGTGATTTAAGCTGCTCATCGAAACAGTTTACTGTTTTCATTTCCTAATAAGTAACTATAAATTTGAAGGAATAAATCCTATAAATAAAAGTCTGCTTTGGTCTTTTTTACCCAATGAGGGTCTACTATGGTAATTAGTTTGAGAAATGGTGATTCATTGCCAAAACCATATGGAATTTTGACTTTCATTCAACCCACCATGTCACTGTCAGTCTGCAGCTACCACTTATTCACCAGAATCCTGAGCCTAAGTATACAAAGAGATGTACAATGTCCTAACTCAGAAGTGTTCTGTGGACAAACTGAAAGCATTTATCTCACGCACAATGACATTTAAGTGGCACTTTAAAAACATAAGGCAGTGGCTTCAAGTTTTTGCTATTCAAGATTTAAAAGTATTTAGAACTATTTCAATGCTTCTGTCCACCACACCATGGGAGTGGAGGAGACTGCTATTTATGAATGGCCTGTAAGTAAAATAAATTTGTTTGAGTTGAGCTTCTGCATAACACAGTGGACAGGACCTCTGGTGTAGATGCCAGAAGCGATGTTTCTCCCTGCTAAGTACCCTGGAGGCCGACATCCATGACACCCATGACTCTGAACAGCTTGACCATTCAGGAAGTGTGCAACCCTGACCTTGGGTGAGGAGTCTCGGGTCTTCAGTAGAATCTGGTAGTTCAGGGGTTTCCACAGAGAGTCATCTGCCATAGCAACAGAGAACTGTGCGATGCAGGGGATCAGGTGCCTTGTCACCCGCTCTTGGAACCTCTCTTCTCCACCAAGCCTGTTTTCCAGCTGTGAAGAGGGAGATAGGGCTATAAGAACAGGGTGCATTTTTAATTCCATTTGAAAGTATCTCACTGTCTTTCATGACAGGCTCAAAAACCAGGCTGTACTCTGATGCTTTCTCTAGAGCTAACTTCTTACCCTCTGGTGACAATGCTTAGCACCAGGCTTTCTCTCCAGAAGGCTCGGGGGGCACTGTCTTCTGCGGGCAGCCATGCCTTGAGACATGCCCAGTTAAAGTCACAGTTAACACAGTTTTTTAGCTGATAAAGTTGACTGTGGGAGCTCATATCTTTCTTTTTAAAAATTCCAACATAAAACTCAATGAACTTCATAATGAAGATAAGTCACAACAAAAATTCATTTTAATATAAAATTTCATGAACACCCCCCCCCCATTAAAAAAAAACCTTTGAGGAAAAGCTCAGTGAGCTGTCACCTGGAAAACACAAACCCTGCAAAGATCAGTCGGTGACTGCTGACTCCACAGCAGGCACTGCGGTTACCTGGTCCACCAGAGGCATCATCAAGGCTTCTGCTCGCTCCTTGCTCAGAAAGTGCTGCGTGTCGTAGAGGAAGATCTTATATAAACAGCTCAGAACAAACTGCAACAGCAAGCAGCACTTTTCAGGGTCATATTCAGAGTCAAAAAATGCTTCATCTGTAGATGGGATAAGAGTAAAACAAAAAAAAAAAGGGGGTCACAATTTAATCTCCAGTGACTAAACATGAACCACAATGAAAATAACTACAAGCAGAAGAGATCTGGACAATTCAGAAATTATAGTAGGATGAAGGTAGAACATGAAACAGAAAGTGATTTCACAGACCTGCTGCAACTCCAGTGCTCAGTCTGGAGGTGACATAACTTCAACATAACTTTAACTGTCCCATGGGTGCTTGCCAGCATTACAACAGACCAATTTTTCATTTTTATTAATTTGTTTTCAGTGCTGGGGATACACCAAGGGCCTCACGTGCTAGGCAAGCGTTCTACCACTGAACTACATTCCAAGCCCTAATTTTAATGCTTTCAAGTTGCTTCTAATAATGAAATATCCACTTATTTTATTCTGTCCGAGTCAAATGGCTAGTATTTTTTGATTATGCTAAAACAAACACTTCAATCTCTGACAACAATAAAGTAAAAACCCTCTTCAGCAAAGAACTCAAGAGTCTCTGAAGTCCTGCCTGAGCACTAGGCTGGTCTTGCACTCACTGTGCTGTGTGAGGCACAGAGCAAGGGTGTGGGCTGCTGAAGGAGCTACCAACCTGTTTTGGTGACGTTCACCTGGTTCAAGGTGTCCGCAAAAGGCTTCACCAAGTGGCCAGCAAACAGAGTGAAAAGGCCTTTTAGTTTCTCAGCAATGCAGTCAGCCAGGTTGTAAAATGTCAGCAGTCTGTCCTTTGGGGCATCTTCTGTTTTGGCCCAATCAAACAGCTAAAACCACAACAGAGTCTTAATGTCTCCTCATCCTTCACTCACACCCGAGCAGGAGGTGCAGAGGGAAAAAACCTCACCTTGAAGAAGAGTGGTCTGAACGTGGCCTCAGAGAGCTTCACAACCATGGCCACCAGGCAGGCAATAACATAGCTCTCTGTTTTCCCAACTTCCTCCAGGTCATCCTGAAAATGGAGGGGCCCATCAGTTAACCAGAGCACTAGCTCCATCAAGCACATCTGTCAAGCACAACTGTTGCAGCCAGGTTCTTCTTTGGCTTTTACACAGGGAGATGACAACTCTGGAATGTGGGGAGGGGTCCAGCTCACCTCTGAATGCTGCGACCGGAAATCCAGGGCCTCCAAGAAAAAGGTGGTCAGCTGAGACTGGTGAGATAGGAGCTCTTCCTTCTTCATCATCGCAATGTGCTCTTGCAAGATGCTCATGAATGGGCCCATGTAATTCTACCACAAACATGGCAAAGAGATGCACCAGGTTGGTTATTTCTAGAGCTCAGAATGCGTTATCATAGAAAGTAAGTAATGAAATGCTTCCTCATGTGAAAATTCTAAACATTTTCAGTACCTCCCCTCTCCAGACTCCAATAGCCATATGACCTCACCTTCCAGTTCCTCTTAATCTGCTTGTAAGTTTTGCTTATGGCTGGCAGTAAGACTCGGGGTGAGAGCTGGGTGGCCAGGGTCTTTTTGAGCGATGTGAGACGGATGCTGCCCTGTGAGGTGGAACCCATTCCACTAGTGATTTTCTCTAGATGAATTACCTATGAGAATATAAACATAGCAACAGAGGCTACTATGGATCTGTGTTGACAACTACACACTCACAGAAAGGCTCAGTGATGACACGATGCTCAAATGCTAGTGCTTGGGAAACACAGCATATTTCAGGTACACACAAAATTCCTTTTAAAGCCATCCCTGAGATTGGACTGTGAGCACATGATAAAAGCGAGAGCACACAAGGGAGGGGTGAGGATAGGTAAGACACCTAAAAAACTAGCTAGCATTTGTTGCCCTTAAAGCAGAGAAACTAAAGCAGATACCTTAAAGCAACTGAGGCCAATAGGAAAAGGGGACCAGGAACTAGAGAAAAGGTGAGATCAAAAAGAATTAACCTAGAAGGTAACACCCACGCATAGGAAATCAATGTGAGTCAATGCCCTGTATAGCTATCCTTATCTCAACCAGCAAAAACCCTTGTTCCTTCCTATTATTGCTTATACTCTCTCTACAACAAAATTAGAAATAAGGGCAAAATAGTTTCTGCTGGGTATTGGGGGGGGGAGAGGGAGGGGGCGGAGTGGGTGGTAAGGGAGGGGGTGGGGGCAGGGGGGAGAAATGAACCAAGCCTTGTATGCACATATGAATAATAAAAGAAAAATGGAAAAAAAAAAATAAAGCCATCCCTGAATATCTAGATAAAACTGAGCAAGCTGGATGTGGTAGTATAAGCCTATAATCCCAGCTACTTGGGAGGCAGAGGCAGGAGGATACAGAGTTCAAGGCCAGCCTGGGGATAGTTATCTCAAAAACAAAATACACACAAAAGGGCTGGAGGCCACAGCTGAAGTGGTGCAGCACTAAAGCAAGTACAGGCCCTGGGTTCAGTCCCCAATATGGCAAAACAACACAACACTGGCCAGATGCATTTTTCCCAAATGGTGGCTAGGGATGAAGACAAAGGGAGGGTGCAGAAGCACATGGCACTGTGGGTCTCCTGAGAGTACAGAAAGCCAGGGACCATGGGGACAGTCAGGTTCTGTCTTCTTTTTTTTTTTTTTTTTGTAAGCAGCTCCATTTATTCGAGTAAATAGCTTGTAAATAAATCATTGATAAACATTACAAAATTAAATACATTTTCAAAAGCTTGCCAGTATACATAAAATTCACAAACATAGTTCTTTTAAAAAATAAAATATGTTCAAAGCACCCTTGAGAGAAAATGCCTGGTCCCTGTCCTCAGACAGGGCCGCCTGGAGACATCTTACAGTAGTCAGGACTTCTAGAAAGGCATCAGGGGCCTCCTGGAAGAAAGATAAAAGTTTTACTCTCAACTTTTACCCTGCCCACGTTCCATGTGAATTTTAATCCTTCTCCAAAGAGCTGGTATATAACTGAGGGGACAGTTTAGGTGCTGAGGCCTGTCCAAGCATGGAGATCAAGGTCAGTCACACTTAGAGCCAGAAGGCCCACAAGTTCCCACCATGAAGTACTGAGAGAAGCCAGAACTGCAACCACACTTGCAAACCAGAAAATGCTGCTCTATCAAGTGTCTTGAGAGAAGATGAGGGCTTTTCATCTCTACACTTTGCTCAACACTCAGCTCCTGATCCAACACCACCCAGGCACAGCAGGGGCTAGAAACCACTTCTTAGGAGGAGGATGTCCAATCTGCTACTTTCCTTTTTACCTGCTTTCACACAGAGAGAATGATGCACAGTATTTGGTTGAAAGCAGCGTCAGTTGTCTCACTGGGCTTCCCTTTTCCATTGCAAAACACCACCAGATAGCATGGGTATTTCTCTAGAAGTCAGGTTAGTTCTTCAAATTAAGGGTTCATCAAACTTTAAGAGACCACAAATGGGGTAACAAGCCCACGGCCTGGCAAAGCATCCCAACCAATGAAATAATATAAAGTCCATAAACAAAGCCCTTGACCCAACTCAACTTTTTTGTAGTGTAGCTCATTAAAATAACGGATGCACTGGATCCTTTCAGTTTGGTGTCAAAAGTGAATGTTGATGGTCAACAGCACTTCCATGAAGAAGACTAATGGCCTCTCCAAAACACCTGCTGTGACCACTCGTTACAGGATGACACACGTGTATTCCATCAATGTGAAATAAAACTCACATCTACATTTTAACTTAGCTGTGGATAGATATATACAAGTACAAGAAATTTGACATCTGAGTCAAATGTACAACTTAAGAAAAAAGTATTACCAAACTGGTTGTAAGAAAACCATCTTCCCTGTATAGTAAGGTCCTAAACATCTGAATCCTTGCAGAAAACACTGCCTGGCCTGGCCCATCCTTGGATGTCTACCTGCTTTTACAATCCTTGGTTGGGCTGTGGTCAGAGTCGTGATATCTTTGCTATTAAAATATTACAACAAAAAGGAACACTCTTGAATAAATGTCTAATAGATTCCCTCCTACACACACCAAAAAAAGAGAAGTTATTCATAAGGACAATTATCGTTTAGTAAAAGTCTTCATGAAGTCCAAATCCCAGGACTCTTTCTTCCTCTCTGAGAGAGTTCTACCCTGTTCCAGAATCATACACTCTTCTTCTGTGGAGGACTCAGTTTCCTCATGCCTCTTATCCGGGAGAGCAGCTCCTTGATAAATTCCTCTGTTGGTTTGTAGCAATCTACGAGAGCTTCCTGTAATTTTAAAGCTCTTTTTCCTCACTGTCTGCATCAAGAAGGTCATCAATGTCAATTTCTACATCTGGCATTTCTTCTTCCTGGCAGCCGTACAACTGCCCCAGCTGCTCTACGATCCACTCCTCCAGCATCAGCCGCTTGCGAAGCTCCTTGCGATCATACTTCACTGTCACCTTTCCTTGCTGGTGACGCCTCTGCTGTTGTTGCTGCTGCTGCTGAACCTGCCCGGCTGTGGCCGCCGTCGCCACCGGCGCCGAGTCCTCCCGGGAGGAGCCCGGGCTGCCGCCGGCGCCGCCACGGGAGCTCTGGAAGAAAACCTGCGTGCCGCCGCCTCCGGTCCCGCCGGCCGCCTCATTGCCGCCGGTCACCACCGACATGTCCCCAAGCGCTGGAGCCCAAGTGCAGCCGGGAGGAGGGGCGGGCGGAGCGCCCGGCGCCGCTACCACCGCGGGCCCCGCAGCCGCATGCGAGGGGCTCGGGCACCTGCTCCGCGCGCCGCGCGCGCCCGGCCGCCGGCTCCTCTGGGAGCGCGGAGGGAGGGGGTTCTGTCTTCTTATAAATAAAAGAAAGCTCCTCAGAGCTCAGGCCCCTTTGGTAGAGTGTATGAATCCTTTATTAAAGCAGGCTCCTAACTCATAAAAGACAAGCAATTGGCACAACAGAACAGTAAGAACCAGGGAAGTGAGGGGGTATTTTCAACTAGAAAGGCCACCTGCCCACAGTGTGTGTGGACAGTCAACCACCCATCTGCAATACAGGATCCCAGTGTAGGACTCTGCTATACAAAACGTCGTAAGGTTAGGAAACTTTTCACATAAGAATCAAACAGGACCCAGCAGTGTCACAAATAAAGATGCACCTCTACCTGACTAGTTCCAAAATCTTGCAGAGAAAAAAAGCAGTAAAACATTCTGCATAGTTAATAAAGAGAAGTCCCACTAAAAAGACATTAGTTCCATGATGAAGCAGAAGGGATGATGGAGGAGAAAAAGAAATGTGCATTTAGTAAGAATAAGCAATCTGTTCAGAAGGAAGAATGCTACCCCTCAAACACGCTAACATTACAGAACCAGTAAAATTACACTGGCAACCCTTTGTTTTCCCCTGGCATTCCAGACAATGCATCCTAGTCACCAGAGCTCACCTGAGACAGAACACCTTCCAGGTAGGGGCTGATGAAGTGCAGCAGCGTCTCAACAACCTTGTGCAGGGCGGCCAAGGCGCTAAGAAGACAGACCTCACTGTGGACTGGCTCGCTGGTGCTCTTCACCGCTGCCAGCAGTGATGGCATCAGGCTGAAAGGAAAGCACAAGCATGTTAGAGGGACCACAAGCAGAAACATACTCAAGAGTGGAGCTGGGGACTCTAGAACATCCACGCCAACCATACCTGTCCCAACACTGCACATCTCAGTGTACAGAACATCCATGCCAACCTGTCACAATGCTGCATGTCTCAGTATACAGAACGTCTGTAAATTTTACACATGCAAGCTCAAGAGATCCCCAGTGACAACAGTACTGATGCCAACAGTAACAGTTAAAATAACATCTTTCAATGACTGAGCACATGCTATACATCAGGACTGTGCCAAAAGCTGGCAACACCCTGTCTACAGAAGTCCCAGAGGGTGGGGAGTTATCGTCTGTATTATGGACACAGAACTCCAAAGGTAAATGACTTGCCATACTGTGCAGCATTATGGTCAGAGCCAAAGACAGAGCCAGGAACATCCACCTTCCCGAGGTGGCAGCCAAGGCCACTGCGGCCTGGCTTCCGTGTCAGCTTTCTAGACACAGCGAGTCAAAGGGGAAGTGTCCAAAGCAGTGCATCTGAGAATAAATGGCAATGCTACCCATTTCAGTTTGAAGAGAACATCCATTCTTTAGCCAATCTATTTTTATGTATTTTTTTCAGGGCCCCTAAAAAGGTCACCACGGCATTTTTCCACCTGCATGGGCAATAATGGTTCCTTTTCCAAGTCTCCAACAGTATACCTGGGAAGCTGAGGGATGGCCAGCGCTTCCAGGGTAGAGGCCACCTCTGCTATGCACAGCAGGGCACTTCCCAGAACATTCTTCTCCTCCTTTCTCTCTGGAGCAATCAGGTCCACTGCTGTGTTCAGCACCGGCACAAAGCGCTCTCGATTTTCTGCACCAAAATTCTTGCATAAAAGCTTTAGGGTATACAAAGCTGTCTGTCTATTTATTGCTTGTTCTTCTTCCACCTCCTTTTTCTTCTGCTGCACGATGGCCAGAAGAACTGGAACCAATTTTAGGAAACGGTAAACCTGGAAAGGACAGTTCAAATTCCCAGATAATCAGAGCTGCAAAACGGTAGTCCACTTCCCTTTCCCAGCTTGAAATGTCTAAATGGGAGTTGGACTGAGGCCAAGCCACGCTACTCTACTCAGCACGGTTTTTCTGTCTGCCTTATTGACACTAAGCAAATGCATGTGCTCTCCCATCAACTTCACATACAGCACCCCAGTGGGAAGGGGCAAAACTGTGCCAAGGCTAAGGCAGTGCACGGTCGGTCCACATCAACTCTGAGAGCTCTTGCAGTGCAACTCTACTCTTACACTTTCTGAACAAATCCCTCACAGTATTCCATTAAGGCAGTACACACTTCAATCTTAAGTGGATAAGCTTTTGTGGATGGGGGGGGGGGTTAGATGCAGCTCATTAATACAGTAAAAGAAAGTCCATGGACCTGTGATCGGTCTTCACTCACCATCCTCTTCTTCCAGGAGGTATTCTGCTGTAGCTTGTTATTCAGAAGATCCAGTGCCTTCCGGCGAACGGATGGCAGGGGATTGCTCACCAGCCCTTTAACCACAGTAATGAACGTTTCTGTGGGCAGCAAGGCATTGACCTGTAGAGAAGTTTTACGTTTAACACAAAAGAAAAAGGAAAAAGCTGACTGCTGGAGGCTCACACCTGTAATCCTAGCTACTCAGGAGGCAAAGATCAGGAGGATCGCGGTTCGAAGCCAGCTGGGCAAATATTACATGAGATCCTATCTTGAAAACACCCAACACAAAAACGGCTGGAGGTGTGGATCAAATGGAAGCGTGCCTGCCTAACAAGCATGAGGCCTTGAGTTCAAACCCCAGTACCACCAATAACAGAAAAGTCAACTGCAATTAAGATTCCATTTATATAAGAATGAGACAGGGTCTCCCTGTGTAGCCCAGAATGGCCTGTAACTCAAGATCTTCCTGCCTCCTATGTGCTGAGATTATAGAAGTGCTCCACCATACTTAGCTGTGACTTCTATTTCTTACATAACTTCTTAAAATAACCTTTCAGGTAGTCATTACTAACCACATTTATTAAATAAAACACAACAAAAAACCTGATGCTAAGAATAGGTATACCTCTCCAGGCCATGTAGTAAATAATTTGGCTAGGCTTGAACAGTGATCTTAACTTCAAAGCCTGTATTACTTTAATCCACTTCAATGAAGTAGAACATTATACGTTACATGACTGAATATTAAAACATCAGATTTATTGATGCACATGTTCTCCTAAGTGCTAGGGAAACATTTTTTTTTTCCTCAAATAAGTTTATTTTTAGTCATCAAGAGAGTCTTTTTAAAAAATCTGAGCTTTGTTATATCAAAAGGTATTGGTGGGCTGGAGGCATCGCTCCTAACAAGGTCAAACCCCAGTACCAAAAAATAATTGAATAAATAAAACCCAAAAAGGTACTGCAAAATTTATTCTTAAAGTAAAACTTAAGTTGAATAATTTTACAACAATATAAAAATCAGTGACAGGAATGGTGGAGTGGCTCATGTGGTAAGAGCACCTACCTGGCAAGCCTAAGGCCCTGAATTCAAGCGGTCCAAAATAAACAAAAACAAAGCAGTGACAAAACAAGGCAAACCATGAATGGAAAGCCCCTACCTTATCTAGCACGTCATAAGCTTTGCTCAGGAGTGCTCGCCAGAACTTCACAGTCAGTTTGTCTGCATTTTTTTCCATGGACTGTGCTACAGTGTTGATATAGCCAAGAACTGTTTCAAGCAACCTAAAACACAGGAGATGAATTCAACAACTGATGATTTTAAAGCTGATGTTTTTAAAGAATTCACTTATATCCTCTCACATGGGATGTTTCAAACGAAAAAGCAACTGAAAAGTTTTGTACTGAGTATTTTAAGAAATGTGGAAGGGAGGATTGTCATCCTACAGAAATTCCATTGAGAAGTGTACAGAGGCCACCGTCTGGAAGATGCTCTGGCTCTGGAGCTTAGTAGCTGTGTTATAGTTCTGTATGAGCGTCTTCTATTCTTAGGAAATGCACACCAATGTATAGACTTAGCTCAGAGGCAAATGGCAGCAAGAAAATTAATGCAAATGTGGCAGTCATTGGTATGCCTGGAATACACGAAGGTTCTGTGTTCTATCCTTGCGTTATTCTGTAAGCTCGGAATTATTGCCTAATGAAAAGTAAAAAATAGAAAAGCAAACATACCTTTGCTCAAGGCCCTCTAAAATCTTAGGACCTCCACTTTCAAGCACCTAAGTGTTAAAGAAAGCTCTATTAGAACAACATGGACACTGAAAAGTTATCTGAGGTAGGTTCAACGAAATCTGACTATTCCCACAAACCTCCCAACCTGATTGCTTTCTGACATTACAATTTCATCAGATTGTCCTCCTTGGGCTGTAGTAACTCTATGCCTGTTAGTTTAATTATATTCTGTTTGTAATCTATGAAGTACACGGATTCAGAAAAATACAGCAGATGAGTAGCACTCATTTCCCTACACTAATTCATGAGATGCTGACCTTGTTAGTACCTACAGAACTGGGGGAGAAGTAACCATTCCAGACCCAGCTGTGGCACTTCACACTGCTCTCCTGGTCTGTCCTCCTCTTACTCCAGACCCCTCACGAATGGGCTTCAAAATGTTTCCAAACAGCACGTACTCAACACACGTCTTCTTACAACGTGAGCTTTGAGAGATCTCAGACATGTAACTGTTCTATTCGCTCATTCCAATGGCACACAGTATTCCTCTGTAGCCACTCACTCTGTTGCTGCATTTTTAGCTTATGCACATTTTTTCCATTTCATAGTTTGTGCATCCCTTACCTAAAATGCCTGCGAGCAGGAGGAGCATGTCAGATCTCTCTGATTTTGTAACACTTGTACATACATAATGGAGCTTAATGAAGTACCCTGGGACCCAAGTGTAAGCACAAAATTCATTTATGTTTTATATACCCTTCTACACATAGCCTGAAGGTACAACTTTATACGAAATTCTCCATGTGCCCGTGTTCTGACGTGACTTGTCACATGGGGAAGGTGTGGAGCCTTCCACCTGTGGTGTCATGGCAGTGATAGATGGTTTAATGCTAACGACACCAAAGAACTTTGGAGTCACCCCTCCAGCCCAAGAACATTTTTACGAGTCTCAAGCATCTACAAGTTTTGTACCTATGGAAAGTTTCCTGCCTATGGAAGGGAGTTACCAACCTGTCTGACCCTGCACAGATCCTGCCATGCTTTCTCAAGTGACTGGACCAACACCACCCACTGCTGCTTTCTCTGATGTCCTTGTCATTCCTTGGTATTAACAGCTTTGACATTCTTGCTAATTCCATGGTACTATAGTAGCATCTCAATCTGCATTTCCTGCTCACTAGGGAGGCAAACCTGTGGTGTATATTCCACCATTCACGATTCCTCTTCATTGAATTCATAGTATTTACCAATTGTTCTAATGGAAACAAACGTCTTACTTATACAGAACAATAACCGTCTCTTAGTCTGCAGTTTTCTTTTCACTTTGCTTAAGGTGGCATTTTGTGAACCAAAAATTTTACTTTATTTTTTTGAGATGGGGTCTCTTTATGTCGCCCAGACTGGTCTTGAACTCCTGGACTCGTGACCCCCTTGTCTTAGTTTCCTGAGTGCAGGACTATAGGTACACACCACCACACCCAGATCTGAACCAAAATTTTAAAAAAACAATCTTTATCCTCTGTAAAAATATTGTTCTTGGCTTGCTTAAGTTTTTCTCTGCCTAACATTACTTGTTGTCTATGATGCAAGATCAGTCTTTCCTTACAAACAGAAAACAAACTGCCAGTGTCTCTGGCAAGCTGGCTGAACTAATTATTAGTTCTAAGAAAATTTGGACCTAAGTTGATTCTTTTTCTTGATTTTTTTTTTTAATTAGGACATATTAGTTGGACAGGGGAATTTCATTGTGACATTTATATATGTGCTTACAATATATCTTAATTAGATTCACTCCCTCCATCATTCTCCTTCATCCCTCTCCCCCTTTTTCTGATTCTTATACTTCATTTCTTTCCCTGAATAGAAAGGATGATAAAAGGTACCTTTGTTCCTGACTTTAGCAGGGCCCCTCCAATGTTTCATCACTGAGTATGATATAAGCCACAGGCTGCTAACAGACACCTTTATCAGGCCAAAGTAATTCCCATCTACCCTGTATTTCTAAGAGTATTTTTTTTGTTGTTAGATCATGAATGACTACTGAATCTGCTGGATTACTTCTATGTAAGAATTATGATGATTATGTGGTTTCCTTTCTTGATCTGCTAATGCATTACAGTTCTTTTTATGTTCTAAGGTTAAACCATTTTTGTATTCTTGGTCATGGTATTTCTTTCCTTCTTTCTCTCTGTCTAAATTGTAGTTTAACACACAAACAGAAGAGTGCACCAATCATTCACACAGAGCTCACCAAATTCAGGGAAAGCTACAGCCCATTATCAGCACCCCAGAAGTCTCCCACTACTCGCCTATCATTATTGTCCCACCCTTCTTTCCAGTACAGACATGATGGTCTTCACCTTTAAAACCATAAATTCAGCCATCATTAGCAACACCACCAACAAAAGGTGCTGGCGAGGATGCGGGGGAAAAAGGAACCCTCTTACACTGTTGGTGGGAATGTAAACTAGTACAACCACTCTGGAAAAAAATTTGGAGGCTATTTAAAAAGCTAAACATTGATCTACCATTTGATCCAGCAATACCACTCTTGGGGATACACCCCAAAGTCTGTGACACAGGTTACTCCAGAGGCACCTGCACACCCATGTTTACTGCAGCACTATTCACAATAGCCAAGTCATGGAAACAGCCAAGATGCTCCACTACTGACGAATGGATCGAGAAAATGTGGTATCTATACACAATGGAATTTTATGCAGCCATGAAGAAGAACGAAATGTTATCATTCGCTGGTAAATGGATGGAATTGGAGAACATCATTCTGAGTGAGGTTAGCCTGGCCCAAAAGACCAAAAATCGTATGTTCTCCCTCATATGCGGACATTAGATCAAGGGCAAACACAACAAGGGGATTGGACTTTGATCACAAGATAAAAGCGAGTGCACACAAGGGAGATTATGAGGCTAGGAAAGACGCCTAAAAAATTAGCTAGCATTTGTTGCCCTCAACGCAGAGAAACTAAAACAGATACCTTAAAAGCAACTGAGGCCAACAGGAGAAGGGGACCAGAAACTAGAGAAAAGGTTAGATCAAAAAGAATTAACCTAGAAGGTAACACACAAGCACAGGAAATTAATGCAAGTCAACTCCCTGTATAGCTATCCTTATCTCAACTAGCAAAAACCATTGTTCCTTCCTATTATTTCTTATACTCTCTCTTCAACAAAATTAGAGATAAGGACAAAATAGTTTCTGCCCGGTATCAAGGGGGTTGGAGGGAGAGTGAGGGGCTGAGTGGGTGGTAAGGGAGGGGGTGGTGGGGAAGAGGGAGAAATGACCCAAGCATTGTATGCACATATGAATAATAAAAATAAATAAATAAATAAAACCATAAATTCATTTTGCCTGTATCTGAACTTTTTCTAAGCAGAATGAAGGTATGCATTCTTTTGTGCCTGGCCTCCTCCTTTGTGTTATTTGAGATTCAGCAGCTGGCTCTGCTTAGCTATGCTCACTTATGCACTGTACTGTGGGCACTTGGGTGGTTCAGTTGCTAGCTGCTGTGCACAATGCTATTGTCCACATTCCTGTAGATGACCTGTGGTCTACATACTCGTATACTTCTGCTGGATGTACACCGCTTGAGATGAAGTTACTGGGTCACAGGCTTGTCTAGTCAGCCTTGGCAGATCATGCCAATAGGTCTTCATAGTAAAATGTACCATTTTTCCTATTACCTTTAAAGGCATGCACCTCACATCTTCACGAGACATTTGCTAAGCTATTTTCACAAGTTATAGTCATTTCCTTTAGCAAAAGCAAGGTCATTTTATCATAAATACATTTCAGGAACACATCACCTTTTTGAGGAAATTATTGGAAGCCAGAAGCTGGGCCATGAAGGACACTGACAGAAACTTGAAGTGCCGCAGTTGCTTGCTAGTGTGAGTGTCTACGCTGAAAATCTGTAGCATTTCTTCATGGGTCTCATTCTTATCAGATCCTGCCTTGGGAGTGGATTCTGAAAAACAGCAACAAAACAGGTGACCTTATTCATTCTTCAACCCGACTCTGTGTCACAATGAACTTTTAATTAAGAACAGAAAAAGTGTGTCTAAGTCAAAACAAAAACATAACAAAACAGACCAACTGAAACACTTAGATGGGAGACAAAGACATTCCAGGAATCTGAATGCTGGCTTAGGGGTACTGACTTGGTAGTCCACACAGGCTGCAGGACGGTTACCTCTAGTATAAGGCTCAGTTCTAAAAATCTAAAGATGTATGGCCTAGAACTTCAGACTTTAGATGTAGAATTCCTTATCTAGATGTAGCTAACATAAATTGGTTTGGGGGCAGAGGACAGGTCCACAGGAGGTCACTTAAAAACCACTGCCAGGAGTATGTGTGTGGGGCTCAGTGGAAGAGGGCTTGCCTAGCATGTACATCAAAACCCCCACTATCCCAAAGAATGACTCAATGTGAAGACTGACCTGTAACCATGTCACTGGGCACAGCTCTCCAGATTCCTTCCTGGCCAGCCTCCACTAGATCTGAGCTGACTGACAGAGGTGACAAGACCAACAGCTGGCCATATGGAAAGCAGTCTCTATGGGGACTTACTATTCTGCTTTGAAGGCAGAGAACTAAGAACAGCTTTATTTTGCTGTGGTTAGTGGAATTTTCCTCAAGACTCTGCTATATGGGAAATTTTTAATATTTAGTTAACTCTGCTTGGCTCCTATATATTTTTTTCTTTTCTGGTAAATGTATTCACATATTTTAACAGGAAGCTGAGACACAACTAACAAGGCCCAGTTAGCTTACTGAAATTTGAACATGATCCATCCTGGACGCTGCTGGCATTCCATAATCAACTCATGAGGGTAAGGCACAGAAGAATAAAATGACACGTAAGGAAGGGCAGGCAGAAGGACTACTGGCTACTTTCTATAGTAGTGAAGAAAGAGCTCAGTCATATCCACAAATCAAAAATGACTAGCTTGCTTAAAAAGCACCTTTCTAAAGACGCACTACAGTTCTGAGGACAACCTGCAATCCCCTTCTGCTTCTTGGCCATCAGACTGTCCCCAGCACTGGACTCAAACTTACCTTCTTTTTCCTCTGGCAACTTTACTAAGTACTGGAGGATATTCATCAAGCTTTGTATCTGATGCTGGACACTGAATTCACAACACACTGAAATCCAAAATTCAGTATCTGCCTCTAAAATAGCATCCTAAATGGAGAGAAGGGAAAAAGGTTAACAAAACAGGAACTAACAAATGTGGCCTGATAAGTACGAAAAAGGGCAGACGTTTCTAAAACATCCCTTAGCAACCAGAGTTGGTGTGCGCTTTTCCTATGGCTGTCACCAAGTGAGCAAGTTGGTGCGCTCCTTCTCTCAACCACAACGGCAGAGTCCCAGAATAGTTTGCATTATAATTTCCAGAGGAATGTCATATATGCCTCTACCTTGAGTTGGTCCTGATCTTCTCCCAGATCCCTCATCTATGAAATCACTTACAAACAGTCCTTGACATGTAAGTTCTACCCTAGCCTACCTAAACCAGGCTCTATCAAGCAGCCTCGTGGGTCTATGTCTCCTGATGTGGTTGCCCCTCCCCCTTCTGACAGGTGCCTTTATCACCACTTTGCAGAGGACAGGTTTACTACCTCACAGCTCCATCCTGTTAGACTTCAAACAGACCCACCTAGTATGGCACCAGACTTGTTTCTTAGAAAAGGGCAATGACCTGGAGATGTTTTGTTGCTACTGAGATATTCCAGGTGCCACAGGCTCTGAAAGCAATTTTAAAGAATTCCAGGCCCTGTTCAGTAAAGTTCAAACTGAACAATATCACAAAATGTGTATGAAAGGTCACCATCATCCTTCTGACCACCCACCCAATATTCTGACCTTTTCTCCACAGGCAGCCACCAGCACTGTTTTAGTGACGTACTGTTCAAAAAGCAAGCCGAGCAGAACCCAGAGGAACTTTTCTGCACCTAGCGTGTCAACAAGCTGAACAAGGATGGGCAGACGTCTGTGTTCTGGAACATGTGGCAGCGCGTCCACAAACACGCCCATGATTCTCACCACAACTGCTTCAACATTTCTTGTGACTTCTATGGAGTCACCACTGTCAGACTGCAGAACAACACGCAGGACATGAGTATGTGCAACTACCTCCTCCACACAGTCACAAAGTGGGGTAAGCTTTCAGATGTGCCCCAAGTTACCAAAAAAATTTTAATAATCAAAGACTTTCCAGTAAATATTCAATGAGTATCCAAGGCACTATTTGGCCTTGAGAATCACAGTGCTAATGTGTGAGCCCTGCCCTGGGGAGACTCATCCGTACAACACAGATGCACATATGAGGAACAATATCCAGATGCAGAAAATGGCAGGTGCCAAGGGACGTGGCAAGACAGCAAGTCTGCTGGACGGCTGCACAGACACAGAGTAAAGCAGGCAGAGCACAGAAAAGGCCAACTGATCCCTGCTGCTTTCAAAATGCAATTTGACCCATTTACTCCAGCACTCAAAATAGAGAATGAGTTAATGAAAAACACTTAAATGAGTAACTCAATGCCCTCTACTTCTACCTGCTCTCCATCAAACTGATCATCTCATTCTTCTCACACACTGTGCAAAACCCACACCAGACTTCTTTTCATGCTATGATGGCAGAGCCACTTCACTGTGCAAGTCCTATCCTCCTTTCCCACCAGTTCAAATTCTACTTTTTATGAAATTTTCTGGTTATTCTGGCCCATCTGGACTTTTTCCTCTTCAGAGTGCTTTAGCATTTATCAATTCCTTTAGCACATACATGAATGAATAGTTTTATTTTATCTTTAGGCATAAGCTATACCCACCAAGTTGTTGGACAGAGAAAACACCAATCTTATGGCAAGATTAAGAGAAAGTATACTGTGTTTATCCCCAGAATGGCCAAGAACGCGAGAAAAGACATTAACAAGATGGGGTAAGCGGATCACTCCAGCAAAGAACCAGGCCCTTTCATCTTTGAGACTACCTCTCACATCTGTGAGCACTTGACTCTCACAGTATGCTTGGTAAATGTTTATTCAATTGCATGCTAACAAATGTGCATCATCAAACTAATGTGACTTTCCAAAACAGCTGATGTAAATTCACCCGAGCATGATGACAGAACACCTCTAGGTTAAACCACTTTGGTGCAGCAGAGCCAGCTATTCTTGGAAAAGATGGTATTTCTACGATCACTTGTTAGCTCCACCCTCTAAAGTTTAGGAGGCACAAGTATGTGAGCACTTCAGAAAAGCATTTGATGGCACTTATATGCAAAACTGTACAACTTAAAAAAATAATGATGACGGTATTAAGATAGCTTACCTGGATAAGTGCTGGAATGACCATTTTCACTGTCTTACTAATAACTTGGAAACTGTAAGTGTCATCTAGGCGCATGACATTGGCTCCCATAAATGTAAAAATAGACATGATATTGTGTAGAACTTTATCCTGAAAGAAAGCACAACTATCAGCATTTTCTATTTCAAATAAATACCCCTAGCTACTCTGAAGGCAGAGATTGGGAACAGTGGTTTAAAACCAGCCAGGGCAAAAAGTTAGCAAGACCCCATCTCAACAAGTATGTTAGGAGCAGTGACAGGTACCCATCATCCCAGCTACACAGGGGATTATAGCTCAGACCAACTTGGGCGACAACACAAGACCATATCCAAAACAATTACAGCAACAGGGCTGAGAAATGGCCTGTGCAGTAAGCACAGATCCCTGAACTCAAACCCCAGCGTCATGCCCCCCAACAAAAAGCAACAGTACTATCCAACTCATTACAAATCACTAGTAAAAACAGAAACGTTTTGCCTTAAAAATGGGCAAGACACTGAGTTAGCTAATTGGTACAGTGCATGCTGGATTTAGTCACCTACACCAGCAAAAATAGAAACAAAAAATAAATTTAAAAAAACTGGGCAAACGATTTGAAAAGTCTCCACTGAAAATATGCACATGGTAAAAGCATATAACCATATGCAAAGCACATGAAGCACACTCAACATCATTAGTTAACAGGAGTTACAAATACCACTTCACACATACCAGGACGGTATAATGAACAGACAGACAATACCCAGTACTGGGAGGAGGTAGAGAAATCCGGACCCTCATGGACAACTGCTGGCGTAAAACAGACGGCCACTTTGGAAGACAGTCTGGCAGTGCCTCAGAGTTAAACGGAGTTGCCATATGGCACAGAAATTCCATAGGTAGGCATACACCCAAGAGAAAATGAAAACATGTCCACACAACACCTTGTATACAAGCATTCATAGCCATCCCTCTGAGACTATACTGTCTTCCAAGAAAAAAGTCCCATGCACATAAATCTTGCACATGGTTTCAGTAGAGGCCTCTTAAAGCTTCATGGAGAAACTGACCTAAAACTGACTCTTTCACCTAAATCTCTGACATGAAAACAGTTTCAATCTCTTTACAAATCTTTGCATGATGTATTTTATATAAGAGACAAAATTTCTTCATGGCAGCTTGTCACTGGTTGAAGGCTGTCAGAGGATTACTGGAGAATTAGTAGCCTATCAATTTTTTCAAAGTAGCACTAGTACTACCTTAGTGGACAGTTACCATGTGTCATGTACTGTGCTAAGAGCTAACCACACATTATTTAACTGAAAAGGTTATGATTACTTACACTTTACAATCAGGGGACCTGAAGCCTAAAAGATCAACTGGCTCACACTGTACCAACTATAAAGAGGTGGAGTTGAGAGTCCCCGCACTGCTGAAAGATCCCAAAGCCCAACAAATTCATTTTTAGTTTATTATTATTATTATTATTATTAATGCAATGCTGGGGATCAAAGCCAGGGTCCTGCACATGCCAGCAAGTCCTCTATCACTGAGCTATGACCCAGGCCCAGCCCAATGCATTTACATCAGTAGACGCCAACGAACTTCCATGAAGAAAACTATCTGAAATATTCGCTAAAGCCTTACGCATAAACACTTACCGGGAATATTCCAGCAACCGTACCTAAGAGTAAAAGGGCCTGGTGGTGGGTCTGTGGCATCTCTGAAAGGCGGATGCACTGAACTATCAACTCAACGTTGAACTTCTCCTCGTCCACAACATCTACAGTGGTAGAACGAAAGGACCTAAGTGGCAGATACAGTCACACTCAAGTAGACAGTCTCTACTCTTTCCTTCCAACAGGCACATACCTTTAGGTATTCTGCCACCATCTGGGGAGAGTTTCTGGCAGATGTTGAGCAGACAACTAAGAATTAACTGCTTGGTGTATTCCATGTTCTCCTGCTCTGGTGATAAAGGTTCTAAACACCTTCAAGACATCCAGGAGAGAAAGGATGGGAAATGAAAAAATTGCACAATACATTGTCACATTAATGATGAGTGTCCAGAGGTTGTATTAAATAAGGAGTAACTAATATACCGTCATTAAACATAAGGCCTATAAATAAGATGTAAGATTTCTAACTAATTTTTATTCTCATTTAGACAAATATTTAGATCAAATTATCTTCCTTCTGTTATCCTACTTGGAATCTTAGAGGACAATTTTGAGAATTATTTTTTTACATGAAAGCACACTCCACAATTCAGCAGCATACTCTAAAACTTTTTATCTAATTAGTTATACCTAAAAAAGTAATGCAAGTGTCACATTGTATCTTTACATAGAAGAATAACAGCCCCGGCATGGCCCTGAAAGTTAAGAAGAAAAGTAGGCAGTAGGCAGTAAGATCACCTCCTGCATGGCACAGCAGGAAAGACTTGTTTAGGGTACTGACCACAGGTACCTTAGATTATTTTCTTTCTTCTGTTTTATTGTACAGACTCTCTAAACAAGGAGAGAGAATGCTGAGACAGCAATGTTAAATAAAATGAAATGACAATTTATTCAAATCCTCTCACAGATCAAAGCCAAGTGCACTACCTTGACAGGAGGTTGAAGAGAGTTGGAATCAGTATCTGAGGGCTTTTGAGCTTCTTCTTGTGCTGCAGTAATTCTAGGATGAGTGTTACTCTCTGCCAGTAAGAACATCCAACTTCCTGAACAGATTCTATATCTTGTGATTTTCTGGGAAACAAAGACAGAAAGTTGGAAAAGCAAATACTATCACAGCTAAGTAAAAATTATTATACCCAATTATGCCAAAATGACAGGTATCAAGAAGTCACAACAGTGTCCTAACATTCCCAGCCTGGGGAACAAGCATGTTCTCAGTACATTCACAGCTCTTACTTCTGCTGCATTTTCTGTCTTCTTGTTTGCTGAATCGTGCCCAAAGATTTAGCTTTATCTGGTGGCTCCAGTTCTATTCTGACTTGTTCAGCATTAACAGAAATCTGAAATATTGAAGGAAGAACAGTTGTTGATACAATTCACTGGGTCAAGGCAAGAGCAATAAATGAATGACAGAGACATGACAAAAGTGATGTCTATTTGTATGTCTTTATGCCACTCCATTCTCAGTTTATGCCCTGGAGTCAGCTGTCTACTGAGATGGACAATGGAAGACTCTTTCCTTTTTTATTTAAACGTCTTAAGATACTCCCTTCTGGACTAAATCTTAATTCAACCAGCACTAAATTATCACTATACAGTACTCAAAACCTGTTAAATATGTATTATCTTTGTGATTCTAATTTTCTACCACATTTCCTTAAGATTAAAAGTAAACATTATTCCTTAAGAAGAGTTTCTTTAACTGAGGGATGAGAATGGCTTCCGGAGTCTGTGTGCCCCAGCTCCTGCTACCTGATGCTGCTGCCACTTTATTACAGACCAAAAAAAAGACAGAGAAAGAAAAGAAAGGAGAGAAGGGACATAAACTTAAACCAACCTAGTACCAGCCAATATGAATTCAACTGTGAGGTTCATTTTAACTGAGCCCCTGCTACTGCACTCACCTCTCTAGGGCATGCTGAGTCTCAAGTTACAGACCTGCATCTCCCTGATAACGTTTTAACAGTGATCCGGTCCAGAGTCACTCAATTCCATCCTCATCCCTCAGTCACTCAATACAGAATCATCCACACCCACCAGTCCATGTGCGAAACCAAATACAAACTCATCAACTGGGAAGGAGTAACACACACACACACACTCATTCATGCCCCAAGAGACTCTTTAGATGGGAGGGAGCTCCGGAAATCTTTTTTGTTGTTGTTGTTGATACAGCTAAATATTTGGATTTTGATTCAAAGAAAACAATTACAAAAAAGTATTTTTGAAGACTGGAGGTGTGGCTCGAGTGGTAGAGTGCCTGCTTCGCACATGCAAAGCCGAGTTCAAACCCCAGGCCCATTAAAAAAAAAAAAAACAAAGTATTTTTGAGACAACAATAGAAATAATGATGGGCAGAGTTACCACATTATAGCAATGAATTACTGTTGATTTTTCAGGTGTAGTAACGGCATTACAATCATGAGAAAATGTCCATTTTTAAAGAGATGCATACACACATAGCGATAGCCAGTAACTTCATGCTTTCAGGTAACTTCAAAATACTTCAGCAAAGAAATAGAAGAAAAAAAAATCAGGCAAATGTTAAAATTCTGAGAGCTGCTAAATGTGGATACTAGCACTCCTCACTGTGCATTTTTTTTTTTTCCCAGTACTGGGGTTTGAACTCAGGATCTCACAACTTGCCAGGCAGGTGCACTTTCTGCACTCTTAGATCAGCCCCTCAGTCTGTGTTTTTGAAAATTCAAAAAACAGAATAAGCTGGTGTAGTGGCTCAAGTGGTAGAGTGCCTGCCTTGCAAGTGTAAGGCCTCAAGTTCGAACCCCAGTATTGCCAAAACAAAAAGGAACCAACACAAAAACCAGAACAGCAAGGTGATAATGTGCAGTTAGCTAGGTTTCAACACACATCTGAAACTAACGAGCAGACTTCTGATTCCATCACAGATGGCATGTAACTGTTAAGTGCAATGTCACCCACCTCAACATCAAGCCCTACTTTTCTTCTTGCATAAAACAGGCACACACTGCATCCCTAGCTCACTAAAACTATAAAAATCGCAAACAGTTAAAATAATGGTGAAGATGTCTAATTTTGGATTTGTAGCTCTCTATGACTGCTTTTCCATGAGCCTTGTTAACGGTGAAATCTGGCCTCTTCAGAGCACTGTGAAAGACAGGATAAATGCAGTGTCCTTTGGAGAGACTAAACAGAACAGGCGAATTACAGAAGGTTTGCAACTCACCCCTTTGAAAACACTGCTAACAGTCTGAGCACAGTGTGAGCTTTTACAATTCACCAGTAAGTCAAACAACATGCACAGAAGCTTCTGCTGCACCTTTCCATCTGGTATTGCTGCAAAAAATGGCTTCGTCATCTAGAGGAACAGAAAAACTGAGCTCACTGAACAAGCTTCAACTCCACACATTTCTGTATCATTTTCTCTCACAATTTTAAAATCGTTCCCCATTTTATTTTCTCATTAAAATGCAATTCTTTTAAATAACCCAAGTAACATTCAGTTTTGAACAGAAGGTGAAATATAAAATGCCCTTAAAATATGTCCAGTCCACTAAGAATTTACAGTGCAAATCTCTAAATGCTTAACAAGTGCAGGTTTTCCAAAGAAGCACCGACCTTTTCGAGGGCAATGATTTGAACAGTTGGCATTCCTAGGTGAAGCTCCTTTGTTGTGTGCACAGCTTTTATAAACGTGTCTAGACTCTTTGGGTCCTTATGTAAAAGTGAAGCTGAATATTCATTGTACTTCCCCAGAGTGAGATGCAAAACAATGGCTTCATCTTTCAGGACAGCTGTGGGCTTCTTCTCAATCTTTTCTAGTAATTGTTCCACCATAGGCAACAGCTGAGAAAGCACCAGCTGAAGATTGAAAACTTATTAGTAAACAGTTACTGACGTACTGATGCTAATGTTTTTGCTGACTCTACAAAGATTGAAGATTCCCTGCTGGAAGATGGAAAGGCTGGAGGGAAAAGCCCCATCATGATGACTTTTAGACTGGGGAGGCTATTAACTCAGATCCTTCTGACAGCTACGTGTAATGACTGAGGCTCCGAACCAACCCTAGAGACAGAGGCTGAATGCCAATCTGTCTGTTCCTCAAGAATATTTTTGTTTTTGGCAGTACTGGAGTTTGAACTCAGGGCTTCATGCTTCCTAGGCAAGGGTTCTACCATTTGAGCCATGCCCCCAGCCCTCCTAAAGACATATTGAGAACAGAAAATACAAACTAAAATTTGAATATAACAATAGCTTAGCATTTGCTAAGACAATGTGTGCTTCTCTCAAACAGTCTCCAATTAAGCATGATTAGTATTAATGCAAATATGTGTGAAGGCTTTAATTAAAGAGGCTTGAGCTCCAAACTCAGTGGACAACCTGCTTTTGTAAGTGATGATCACTGACATCAGCGACGCTCATTTGCTTACACAGCATCTACGGCTGCCTTTCTGATTCGGTGGCAGAGGGGAAAGGCTGCAACAGAGACTGGATGATCCTCAGAGCCTACTGACTCCAAGACCCCGTTAGCTACCAGGTCCCTTATAAAATGGCAGAGTTTGCATGTAATCTACACACGTTCCTCCATATACTTTTAATTGCCACTAGATCACTTATAATACTTAATGTGATGTAAATGCTATGCAAATGGTCGTCATCCCATATTGTTTAGGGAACAACAAGAAAAAAGTATGTACATTTAATACAGACACAACCTTTTCCCCCAAACACTTTCAATCTGAGGTTGATTGATCACACAGATTTGAACCTCCTGGATAAGGAAGGCTGACTGTATTCACTCTCTGGTCCTTTATACAAGAAGTTTTCAGCTTGTAAACTCTACCCAGAGATGACGCAGAGCCGACAAATGTGAAAAATACAATGCAAAGATCTTCACTTCACCTATTTTAACTCTCTAGTTCTGCAGCCAGTCCAAGACTGATGAAGTACGAGGCACTTCTGATTTTTGGCACACTGGGAGGAAGGCACTTTTTCTTTGCTGACCAGCAGCATGCACCACCACACAAGTGTTTCACAGTCTTCCTCAAGAACATATGAAAGCTACCAGTTGTCCTCCCCACCCCGCAGGAAAATGCACAAACATATATATTTAATAAATGAGCAAACAATTTTGGAATTTTCTCTTATGTTTAAATACATTCCTTGTGGAGGATTTTTACTTGAAAAGCAGACACAAAGCATTGATTCAGTAAAGATTTTTTAACGAACTTAAAATCAAGCTGAGGAGGAGATAACACAATTAAGGAACAACACACTGAATTTTAAAATGGAGAGAAACTCACAATGAGTGCTTTCTACATTCTCTGCTGAAAGCACACAACTATCTTCCTCATACGAGGTAGCTACAATAATCTTCAGTAACAGTGTGTAGGACATATGATCCACTGAAATTACACGTACCTCACTGTTGACCTCCTGAAATATTTTCACCAAATCTTTTGCAATATATGATGGACAACCATATACACAATAAAGTAGGTTTTTCAAAGTTTCAGACAACTTCTGATGAGATTTCTGTTTCTTTTCTTTCTGCAGTTCACCAAATAAAGTAGCCAAATCCTAGGATACCAGACAGAAAATTGGATAATAAAGAGTTAAGGAACCACAAAAGCTTAATGTTCTAATTGATACTGGGTTTTTTTTTTTTTTTTTTTGTGGAATTGGGTTTGAACTCAGGGCCTTACATTTGCTAGGCAGTGCTCTACTACTTGAGCCACTCCGCCAGCCCCGATACTTTTACCTGACAGCCCACCAGTCTTTTATCCAGAACTGAGAAATAGTATTGTGGCCTTTTAAAACAGGGGAAAGATATGCAGTACTGACATTAGTTTCTAAATTCAGTGACTTAGTCCATCAAATCTCTACAAGGTAAAATGTCAAGAATGGAGCAAACTATTCAAGTATCCGCATAGGTATCCACACACGTGCAGCCACACAGATGCTCTCAGCCTTCTTCACCAGGGAGTTTACCTGAACGACATAGGTGGTATCTGAGATGATCTCCTCTGCTTTCGGAACCAGGTGATCTATCACCAGGTGAAACTGCGATGTCACTCCACTAAGGGCCTGGAGGCACTGTATGGAAGCCCTGCGTACTTCTTTTATGTGGCTTCCCAGATTAACAAGTAGAGATACCACCACTAAAACCAAAAGGGAAAGAATCTAAGTAACAAGAAATAAAATCCCTCCCAGGGCTGGCATGCAGCTCAGTAGCAAAGTGCTAGCCTGGCATGTATGAAGCCCTGGGTTCAATCCCCGCACCGCAAAAAATTAGAAACTTTCCCTCCCAACTCAAAACTCCCTCTCTGAAGATGGCTCACTGTTTAATTATGTGTTATGTCAGAAACATCCTCTGGTATACTCTCGAAAACAAACGAGCTCAGAGGATACTGCTGTGCATCAACTGCCACCTCACCTCAAACTGCTACACGCTATCTAAATGATATGCTACGATATAGCTGGAAAGTACTCTGCTGTATTTTCCATCTTCTAAATCAGTATCTGACTGGTGAGGGTAGGTGGCGGCAGACCAACGCTGCAGCAAACTCCCAGCCCTGTCCCTGTGTAATTGCACACAGGAATCGTTGCTTGTGTGTCATGCGCTGCAATTATTTTGCCCCAGACTGATGTGTTTGACTTTACTTTTTGTTGCAGAAGTTTTATAGTTAAATCTTCCTTCTACTTTTTTGTTGCTCAGAAAAGCCTCCCCACTCCAGATAAATTTAGGAAGAATCTCTCTTAAATAGAGAGAGCTAATACCAGAGCTAAGTTTTATGTTACATCCTTAGATTGGATGGAATTTTTGTATAAGGAATGATGTCGGCATCAGACTTCCTAATGTTTCCTACTTAACAATCTGCATGAGCATCCCACAGACCTGGGATTTCTTCTTTATGCATTCATTCCGTAAGTGTCTGAAATCTGTCTATCTTGCCAGCTAGTACTTCCAGAACCAAGTTCAACAGAAGTGATGAATTTAACAAGAACCCCTCCCTGATCCCACTGCCCAATTATGCAGTAAAAATGCCAGCACTGATTTGAGGAATATTTTTATCATGTTACTCTTATTTTACTGCCACTTAATTAGGAATAAATTACTGACTTTTATCTAATGCCTTTTCAGATCTTTGATAATGTTTTTCCCTTCAGCACTGACAATGCCAACAGATAATAAGGAGTTCTTTAGAATGAAGCAATTTAGCATTTTGGTATGCATGCTGTCTGGGAAAATGTTTATTTTTATAAATGTGCTGTTGGATCCTATTTACAAATGTTTTGTTTAGGGTATTCACACAGCATCATTCATAGCATCACGGTCTACAGTTTTGTTTGGGTCTGAAGCTTTGTGAATTTCTAATGTCACGCTGGTTTCAACAAAGAATCTGGAAGCTTTCCATTGTCTTCTATGCTCTGCCCAGTTCAACAACGTTGAAAGAACTGGTTTCACACAGTAGAATATACCTACCTTTGAGACAAACATAGCAGGGTTTTAAAAAAAAGATGTTGCTGAGATACACAGATATCTAAATTCCTCTTATAGTAATTAGTTACTTGGGCTTTATTTCATGTCATCTGCTGGGGAAACTTTGGTGATTTGTTTCACCAGAAATGTTCCATTCCACATATGCTACGTCTGGAACACTAACAAAGAGCTTGACAAGCTTTAAAACTGTCTGTGAAGTTCATAACACCCCCTGACAGATAGAAATCCTTCCTGGTCTCTACAGGTTTAATTTATACAAAACAACAACAACAACAACAAAAAAAACCCCAAGAAGAAGTGAATAGCTGAAAAGTTAAATTCATGCAAGAGGCAGATTCAGGCCTAAAAATCTTCCTGCTAACATTTCCTATATGGTAGAGCAGAAGATCTAAAAATTTCAAATTATAAGGCAAATTCGACATATTAATTACTAAGGCTACCATGTGTAAGTGAGGTCCTAGAACACAGCATAATCAGACTACATGAGTTCTGAAGCCATCTTATAGGAATGCCTTTCCAATGAAAAATCTATGTGACTTGATTCTCCCAACTAATTTTATTTAGTTTTAAAATAGCATATTTTACATAAAAATTGAGGTTTGTTTCTAAGCGTGCAAATAAATTTACTACATTGATTAGATATAGCAAATGAAAGGCAGGTCTCATTTTATAAATGACAGGACAATTTTATTTACTCGTTTAAAAGATTTGCTATATTTAAGACTGACTTAGACTACATATGTGCGTAGAAAATACTAAATGACAGTTAGATTCCCAAGCTACTGACAAAATTGAACTCATATAGTATTGTATTTTAGTATCACAATGCTGCATACATCATGCAACTTTATTACCTATTATTATAATATTAAATTACTATATTATAGTAACTTTACGTTTGAATATATCATGTGAATATATTAACATTATAATTATGTTATATACATTTACTTAATATTAAGTTACACTACGATATACTATATATTTTATTATATGGCACTTTATATTTACACATTATGTATTTTAACCTTTGAAGGTCATAACAGTTTAAATATATTAAAGCAGATTCAATCAACACTTCCTGTACTCCTAACAGAAGCATGTTGAAAAGCTCTCCACGGACTCAGGACCCTGAGAGGCCTGGTTTTTTTTTTTTGCAGTACTGTGGGTTGAACCCAGGGCCTCCCCAGCCTCTAAGAGGCTACAGTCTGTGAGCTTCTAAGTGGAACAAGGTATGTCTCATTTCCACTCTGAGAAGTGCTGTGACGTATCTGTACAGCATTAAATGCAGAAGTACCTCAGGGAGGGGGCAGACAGATGACAAGGCAGCAAGAGTAGGCAAGAAGTCTATCTTGCAGCAATACCAGTGGGAAATGTAAATTCTTTGCTCCTGACATTTATAGTGACATATATTACTCAAGAGCCACTACCTTTGATGTCAAAGAATAGAAGATTCTTAATACAAACTAGAAACTTTATCTCTAAACAAAATACATGTACATTTTTGAAAACCCACAAATTTAATAAGTGGCAACTTTTAATGAAGTATGTTAGCTCCATACAATGAAATAAAAGATAAATTTCTATATTTATATGGAAAGATGTCCATAACAAACTAATTGAAAAATGAAAAATAAAAAAATACATATGAATAGGTCAGATGCTGAGATTGGGAGAATCGAGGTTTAAGGCCAGTCCAGGCCAACAGTTCATGAGCTCCCCCCTCCCCATCTCCAAAATAACCAGAGCAAAATTGACTGGAGGTATAGTTCAAGTAGTACAGTATCTGCTTTGCAAGCATGAAGCCCTGAGTTCAAATCCCACTTCCACCACCAAAAAAAAAAAAAAAAAGATAGGAAGTTTTCATTATTCAAAGAAAAAAGTTCTGAAAGGTAAACTTGCCTAAAATAGAGACTGGAATTTTATATGTAGTAAGTAGTGGAGAAAAACTGATTTTTATGGGGTTTTATTTTGTAAAATTTGAAATTCTGTATCTTTTACTTTACCTTACTCTTAACAAAATTTTGGCTGCATGCAAATGTAATTATGTGTTCTTTGAAGTAGTAGCAAAAGGTAAACATTGAGAAATTGTTCTGAGAAAAGCGTAGCATCATTCACTTTGTTTCACAGATCACTTTCAATGTTCCAAGGGCTACTCTTAGTCCTCTGACATATTTAAGTCCTCTGACATATTTAAGTCAATACACTTTGAAACATCAATTACATCCATTATCCTGTTTTCATCTTCCACCATTTTCTTCTGTTCTAATTCTGCCAGCTCCATTGCTTTGTCAGTAGCTCCATAAGCTAACTCAGTTTTTGACGTGACATTCATTAATTCTATGAAATTGTAAAATTTGCAATTCCACTTAAAGAAAAAAATATACATTTATTTTCAGATGTTTCATTAAAAAGCAATCAGCCTGAAAATGGCTTGTGCGTGACAAAGGCGATAAATCCAGGAGTTTAGAATAAATAGTCAGTTAATTGCTGAACTGTCTAAGAATCTGCCTTCCACATATACCCATGCAGCTGCTGGGGCTCGGAATGTGAGTAGTTAGATGATTAAGAACTCATGGATATTACTCTCCCATTTGTAGTATACCACTTTTTTGTTTAGGGAGAGTTTGCAAACACCATGAAGAAGTCAAAAGCACTCCTTAGAAGTAAAAATTTTAACAGTGTGACATGACAGAATGTATTGAGCTGTTTTCAGTACCTGGAGACGACGTGGACGCCAGCTGCTGTTTACACTGTGCCTTCTGAGAATGGAGCATCGCAGAGCTGATGTAAAGAGCCTGAGTCTGCAGCACTGCCGTGACACTGCAGTTCAATGGATTTGAAAGGCTAGAACCATAGGTCCACAGCACAGAAAAGAACTTGAATAACTGAAACACATCTCCTAGATGTACCTGATCAGAACAAACAGTGAAGTTTCTTACTCAAATAAGGTGGTTCCAAATCCTCTTTTAGTTAATGGACAATTATAAAACAGAAATAGCTTAATGAAATGTTGTGCGTGTCTTGTCTAATCACTAAAGGTTACTTTAAACTTGGTATTTTAGCCATTAGGAAAGATGTCAATGAAGATGGACATTAAAAAGCTCACCAGGGCTGGGGTGTGGCTCAAGTGGCAGAGTACCCGCCCAGCAAGCACAAGGCACTGAGTTCAAACCCCAGTACTGCCAAATACCACCCTCCAAATTAAACAAACAAAAAAACCCTGGTACTTTAAAACACTTTACAAAAACACAAGGACAATAAATAAAAATCAAGACAAGAGTTGTGTTCAGGAAGCTTCCTTAAGAAAGTACTTTAGGGGGCTGGCACAGTGGCTCAAGTGTACAGAGCTTGCCTAGCAAGCATGAAGCTCTGAGTTCAAACCCCAGTATTGCCCACCCCACCAAAACAAAAGTTACTTCAAAGATGGAATGAGCAATAACAGTGATATCAATGCTATGGAGGGAGCAAGTTAGGCAACAACCAAAACTGACCATGGCAACATGGAGGTCGGTGGTGCCCAGGATGAATTTGCTGAGTGACTGCGTGTACGGAATAACCTCTCTGAACATCAGTTGGTTTTTGTTGTTGTTTGTTTGTTTGTTAGAGCTGGGAACTGATCCTAGATTTTGCATATGGTAAGCAAGTGTACTGGCACTTGAGTTATATCCCCATGCTCCCAAGCATCAGCTTTGCAAACCTGTAAGTGGTATTTAAAAACCAAAGAAAGGCCAAGCATGGCAGTGTATGTCTGTAATTCCAGCTACTTGGAAGGCGGAGACAGGAGGACTGCAGTTTGAGGCCAACCTGGGCAAAAGCATGAGACCTATCTGAAAAACAAACTAACACCAAAAGGACCAGAGGCATGGCTTAAGTGATAGAGTGCTTGCCTAGCAAGCATGAGGTCCTGTGCTCAATCCACAGTACCACAATAAAAAACAAACAAAGACACCACGTAGGTAGATGTAGCACTACTGCTCTGCTCACCTGCTGCGTGGTATCATGATTATAGTACTTGGTTTCAGGGCCTGTTTAAAATCTCCTTTCACTGTCATAACTTAATCCACAGTATCTTGTTAGAGGGAAGAAGTCTGAACAGGGTGAGCCGGTACCTGTATGAGAAGTTTCATCAGAACCCTGAAGTGAGCAGCATCGGCACCCATGAGGACCATCTCAAAGAGGCCAATGAGCAGGTGCAGGTAGTGCTTCCCGTCCTCTGCTAACTGCTCGGGATTCCACCATGTGTCATCTACTCAGACATGGAGAGACAGAAGTCAGTAGAAACCTGTATGCATGTGCTGTGGGGAAGTTCTCATTCAAAAGAATAGCGGAGTGCCTCGCTCAAAGAGTCACGACTTGCATCTTACCTTTAGGAAAAGACTTAGGAGCCTTCAGTGCAAAGATAAAAACTTTCAGGGAGAATACAAGCAGAACTGAGTCCTCCACAGCAACCCTCTGGGCACTCTGGAGCTGTTCTATGTAATGTGCCCACAGCTCCTGTGGTAAACCTCTGTCTAACATCAGCTCCAGGTGCCACTCTGAGGGGATTTCCTGAAATGATAAAGGAAACAAGTAACACACACAGAAAGGGGCCGATGTGCATTCTGAGCATGGGTCCATGGGCGGACTGCAAGGGATGTGTGAGCTCCTTTGCATAACATGCAAAATTTGCCTATGTATGCATTCTGGTGGGGGGAGACTTTTGTATGGTCTTTAAGATACCCCACTATTACTGTTCACAATGAAAAACATGGATAAGCTGAATATGGCTTCGTTTTACCTTAAAACACTGTCCCTGTAAACAAATGTTACTCATATAAATCCTATCAAATAAGGATAAATAGACATGTTTCTAAACAGAAAGATAAGGAGTTGGATTTCTAAGAGTCCTTTGAAAGGAACTTCTCTCACTTACACTGTACTGCCAATCTGAAGAAGGGACATGGTAAAATCTCCAAAGGAAAATAACTGAGAGCCAGATTTGGAAGATAATGTCTTTAGAGGGATATGACTGACTGTGTACTGCTAGTGTTGCTACAGCTGAAAATACTCTCTGGGCCTCAGAAAGGGTGTTGGAACAAGGTGACAAGAATCGCCCGTCATCTTCTTATATAAAATACACATCAGGCCACACTTTTAACAGAGAACAAGTACAGTTCTGGTTATTATTATACTGCATGAAAGACATGAAAAAAGCTCACCTGAACCATCTTCTAAACTATGAAATCTCACTCTTATGGAGAACAAATGAAAATACGGCTAATAGTAAAACAAATAATCTTGTTACTTCAAGATGAGGTACAAGGTACAAAGAGAAATAGCTGTAATATGTCCCTTCACAATGCTAAAAAGACCCATGTCTAACAGAGCACTAGAGTTTTAGAAAGACACAAGATCTATTTCCATTGACTAATACGGTGTTTTGTCAAGCCCTAACACATGAAGTATACTGATCACCACTAACTTGGATACTACCCAGAAAGACAATAAGAGTCCTCCATCAGATATAAAGCCTTGCAGCCTTGAACTCTACAACCCAATTAAGTTTTCTGCAAAGCCTGATGGGTACTGACTTAGAACCCCTGCTCTGCTTGCCACTTCACAGCAGCCCCAAACACCCCTTCCCTCAATGTTCAACTCTCTGCAGGCTGCACTCCTTACCACAGCAGTGATGACACTTTCCAGCTTCTTCACTGTTTTCTGCAACAAACTGAAGACTCTTACTGCAAATGGAAAATGAGTTTCTCTTGAAGATGTACAGCAAGAGGTTAGCACAGACATAATCACGTGAAATGTCACTTTCTGCTTCAGGTTAAAGGACTCCTTTTCAGCAGCACTTATTAAATCTTCCACCTTGAAAAATAAAACACACTCCATTACTGGTAGCTCTTGAGTTTCATAACTTTTTCTATCTCAGGTCTACCTAGGTATCGTGTGCTTTACATACAAAGTAAGATAACAAATATAAAAGCCTTTAAAGTCATTATAAAAATAAATATTCTCAGAAATCATTATGAACATAGGTACACAACAGGTTAGTGCATTTAAATTACATACCCAGTTCCTTTATGGTTTATTTACTAAGGTAAATACATTTCTCCTCTTTGAAGAAAAGCTTCAATCCAGTAAGAACATTTAGAGGAAAGCCAGCGGTGGACCAATAGCACACCTACCATCTTCAACATTGAAGAAGGATCTTCTGAACGGATATTGTCAGCCAACAATGCAATCATCTTCTGATTTGCTATACCAATTAGCTTTCCCGACTTTGTGCTTTTAATCACATTTTCAAGTGCTGTAAAAAATTTTGAATTCAGAGAGCCCTTATGTTACAGACACTCACATAAAGAATTATATAAAGGAGTTTAGGTAAAATTTTTACTATTTCTCTTCAAAGTTTTATTTTTTTAATCTAATTATGAATTTCTGTGAGCCAGCTTCCTTTACATCATATACTTTTTCTTGGGGGTGGGGTGGGGCTGGGGTTTGCACTCAGGGCTTTTGAGCTTACAAAGCAGGCACACCCAAGGCACTTGAGCTCAAGTCCATTTTACTCTGGTTATTTTGGAGATGGTGGGGGGAGTGGTCTCAGGAACTATTTGCCAGGGTTAGCTTTGAACCACGATCCTCCCAACCTCAGCCTCCCAAGGAACCCAGATTATAGGCACGAGCCACTAGTGCCCACCATAGTATACTTTCATGTTTGTTTGCTGGCTTGCTTTTTTGGTGGCACTGGAATTTGAACTCAGGGCCTCACACTTGCAAGGCAGGCACGCTACCACTTGAGCCACTCCGCCAACCCTATTTTGTGTTGGGTATTTTCAAGATACAGTCTGGTGAATTATTTGCCTGGGCAGGCTTCAAACTGTGATCCTCCTGATCTCACCTCCTGAGCAGCTAGGATTATAGGCATGACCCACCCCACTGCATACTTTGTATCTTAGCAAAAATTAAGAAAGAATTGTGCTGGCATTATAGCATGCACCATTTCAAATAGCAAATACAACCAATTTCAAATTTGCTTATCTTCTATTTAAAGTGTTGCTTGCTTTTTTTTTTTTTTTTTAGAAAAAAACCACTCACTTTCTTACCTTCCTTCCAGCCTTTCAGTAGAGGGTGCAGAGAGCAAATTCCTGATTTTGACAGATATATAGCAATTTCCATCTCAGCCGATTCCATATCATCATTAGTAATAACCATAAAAGGCAGCAAATGTATAACCACCTGATTTGACAACTGACGGCTTGCACTCAGTATCTCTTTTTTAATTAATATACTTGCTGCTATCTCAAGTACCCTGTACCTAAAAGATATATACACATATTTGGTTGAGAGACACATTAAGAGACTTTAGTTCAGCAAAAACTCATGATTACATTGTTCTATCTCAACTGAAAATATCCCGGTTTCCTTCCTGCAAATACTATTCCAAGACATGGAGACACCACATAAAATCCATGCTAAATAAAGGAGTTATCTAGGACAAGAATTCTGTCCAGTCAAATCTTTTTCACTTCTTCTTCTAAGAAATCACTGGGTTGAGCAAACATAAACAACACATTGCATGTCTCGAAGCCACTAGGTAGCACTCATTAAGAAAACTGAGCACATCTTCTATGATAGCATCTACACGTTATCTATGTGCTAGGTATCAACCTATATGACAGACTCAAACATGCAACACGTGCTCTGGTGCTCTTAGGAGCTTTGTCACTTTTCCTTATAAAAAGCCTTTGTGCCAAAATTAAATAACCACAGGACATCAAATACTACAGATGGTATCAATGCCTCTGCATTTGTTTTTACTTACAAAGTAATAAGTATTTGGAAGTACACAAACTAGAAAATAAGAAAACTTCCCATCCTACTTTCCCAAATTTAGCATATCTTACGTTACACGCTTTGCACTTCAAAAAAATTCAAACACAAAATAGCATATGAACATAAATAAACCCAAATAAATTAGTTTCCTAATGTGAGAGTATTACTGTCCTACTAGATTAGAAATGACAATAAGGTCACATAACTAGTTATTAGTAAAAGTAAGAAAATCAATGTGACCTTGATACAAGAACCTCATTGACTCAAGAGCATGGGAAGGTGAGGAACAAACACGTACCATCCTCTGTTCTTTGAAAGTTCTGCTCTTTGGAAGAGCTTCAGAAGATGTGAAACAGTCACTTCTGCACTAAAGTGTTGTTGGAAAATCTAAAGGGAAAACAGTCATGAGTAAATATTTACTTGTCTCAAATACATGCGCCGTTTCTAAAATGAACCTGAAAAAACAATTAATTATAAAGAATTTCTCTCAAGACCCAAATGTAACTTCCAAGTTTATGAGAGCAGTTTCTCAAAAGTGACCCAATTTTTCAGGGTCCCCGGGTTCTTGTGTTTTCCTTCTTGAAGAGCTTCCTTATATATCAAACCATGCAGTCTCATTACTCCTTTGAACTTCTTCTACCCAGACTTACATCCGTACCCTCAAAGCACAGATTTCCAATGGAAGAATAATTTCCAAATATATTCCTGCCTAGAGCAGAGAATCGTGTGAGAAACAAGTATTTATAAAACAAAATGCACATGTCCTTGAAGAACTCACCTTAAAAGCACTTACAGCAGACAAAACAACATCTAGATTATCATCGCCTAATCGAGCCAAAACAGCTTCTTTTATGAAAGACTCATCAATGCAGTCCTGAGCAACAGAAAAACAAATTAATTTCACTGTTGCTACAAACCTTGTAAGAATTCCCACTAGATGGAAGCATGTTTTATTTAGTTTTGGTGGCACTGGGGTTTGAACTCAGGGCCTCCTACTTGCTAGACAGGCACTTTGCCACTTGAGATAGGGTCTACTGCCCTGGGCTGGCTTCCACCTATCATCCTCCTGATCTCTGCCTCCTGAGTTGGTAGGATCACAGGTGTGAGCCACCAGCACCTGCCTGGAAGCATGGTTTTGTGAATACTAGTAAGGACAGCTGGCGGAGTGGCTCAAATGGTAGCGCACCTGCTTAGCAAGTATGAGGCCCTGAGTTCAACCCCAGTGCCAAAAAAAAATATTCACAGAATACTAATAAGGAAACATAGCCCTTGCCTTGAGGGGAGTTCAAACACTCCAGAACTAGGTAATTTCTAATAGGTCTTCTGAGATGGGTAATTATATGACACAGATTTCTTCAAGTTTCCACTGAAAATATAAAGTATGTATAATCTGATATAATTTCTGTATTAAGAAATTTATCTTGTTAAAATAAGACAGTTCATTCAACAAAACTGGAGAAGAGGGCAGAACAGCATCTGCCTAGAAGTGAGTGGGGTGGGAGGGTGGGGAGGGTAGGGCGGGAGGGGGCGGAGGCAAGTGGGAAGAAATGGCTCAAACAATGTATACACATGTGAATAAATGAAAAAAACAATAAAATAAAATAGTTCAGATATTGAACTGCATAGACTAAAGAATGTGCAAGTTTAAATCCTAGCTCAACCACATACCAGCCATGTAACCTCAGGCAAGTTACTTCACCTTTCTGGCTCCTTGTTCTCATCTGTAAAACAGGGCTACTCGTAATAATACCTACTGCAAAGGGTGGGTAGAGCCTTAAAAAATGTGTGTCAGTACTTGGTACAGTACATTCCATGGACTAAGCATGTGTTAGGCTAGCCTACTGCTCTTATCTAGACTTCTACAAAGACAAGGAAATATACCACAAAGCCAGATATCCTATTTTTAAAAAATTACAAAGAAAACAAACTAGGTATGTAATCATTCATAGTAACAAAACAAAACAAAACCCAAAAAGAAAAAAAAAAGGACTGCTAATCAAAACAAGTATATTGCTATAAACACACAGTGGGAAAAAACCCCCCCAAATAATTTTATAAAAATATGTGCTAGGCACCAATGGCTCATGCCTGTAATCCCAGCTACTTAGGAGAGATCAGGAGGACTGTAGGTGTAAGCCAGCCTAGGCGAACAGTTTGCACCCTATCTTGAAAAAAATCCTTCACAAAAAAGGGCTGGTGGAGGGCTCAAGGTGTAAGCCAATACTGCTATTAAAAAAAAAAAAAAAAAAAAAAGTATATGTCACTCTGTTCGGAGACAAAGTAAAACCCTAGAATCCACAAAAATTAGACCTAAGTTTTATTTATCAAATGACACCAAAATTTCCTCAAGAGCTAATAAGTAGCCATTTATCTCAATCTGGAATTCTGTCACTGATGGAGAAGGGAAAACAAAACCTGACATGCAAGGAAAGGGTGGACTGTGACTACAGGACTCAAGTCCGCAAATTAACCTATCTACAGCATCCTTCAGTAACCCACCAACACAGCAGGGAGAAAGAAATTAAGAGCAGGAGGAAGAAAAAGAACAGCTTTAGGAAGATCACAGGAATCCTTTTTGTTCTAGACACCAAAGTCTTCCAGCATTCAATATACTAACTGTTTAATAAATCTGTAGGATAGACCTAAGGGAAGGGGTTTGTGAGAACATGACTCATGCCAGAACAGATCAGAACATCCCTCTCAGCATCACTACAGCTTCAGTGTTATCTCAGTCACTTACCAGGAAACACTCCCACAGATCCTAATGTTGCTTTAAGTTACTACTTACATACCAATTTAAAGTAACTGTAACTCTTTAAAATATAGAAGATATAAAAATATTTTCACAAAGTTGAAAACCATCAAAGCAAGTATAAAAAAAGCCCCATAAAACCAATAAAATTCATCTTATCTCTTTAATTACACAATATCAATTCTTGGTGATAACTTTTAATTTCTTATTCTAGAATTTCAATGCTTGTCAGAAGGAAAGAAAAACCCCAACTGAAAGACATCTGAAACAAACCTTTGATGTTTTCATGATATTTTTCAGATGATTAATAGCCAAAAGTCTCACGGGAGCCAGGGGATGATTCAGACTGAGCATCAAGGAGGTATTGGAATCTGCTAAAAACTGTGAGTGCAACATGATTATCAAATGATACCACTTAATCTGAAGGGCATATAACACCCCAGGCCGCCCAACGCATTCCACTGCATATGTACAGGCAACTGCACAAACCAGAAAGTAAACAAAGTCCTCTCCAGAGCATGACAAGAGTTACAACAAATGGAAATACTCGTTTTGTAAGGGACAGACTTTGTGCGTGTAGGTTCAATTTAGTGAAGTGATTTTTCATTTTACGGACATCTAATTCCAAGTGAAAAGAACCTGAGATAACCACTAAATCACCTCTCCAAGACAGAATGCAACTCAGCGCTACAAGTAACGTTAAGATAGGAATACTCAAATTAGTGACAACTTACTTCACTCATGAAATCAGACTAAGAAGTCTACCAACCAACCTAAGATTTGGAAACACAACAGCACTAAAGACAAAAGGCCAGTTAATAGAAGAGAAACTCTTCATAATATCCATCTTCAAGGCTAATTTTAAGAACATTTGGTTCAACATCTAACTTCTGGTCTAAAGATTTGGGGTTGAATCACCAGAAAATTTCAGTTTTATCCTGATCATGATCTACTCTAATCAATAAATGGTCAGTGCACTGCTCTGGGAAGTAAGACCTCAGAGAAGACACGGAATGCTGGGCACCCTTGAGGCTGTGCCCTGGTGACTGTCAAACAATATACATGAAACTCGCACATACTGTTTTCCTGAATAGCATCATGTTCACATTTGTGATTCAATTCTGGCATCAGAGGTCAGTTTCACTAGGCAAGCTGAATAAAGTCTCACCTCTCTGCAGATTTTCCAAAGAGGGGAGGAAAGCAGGAAATTCCCACCTGGAGCTCTTCAAACAACCATGCATGCCCTATTTCCTATTGCCATTCCTCTGCAGAAGAACTACATACCTGGTACTTTCCTCCACTTGTAGAAAGAGAAATAAAGTGGTGAAAAAGCTCCTGCTTTTTCAGATCTGTAATTTCTTTCAGATGTTCCTCTAATACAACGTCTAATGTTCTGGGGTATCTGGGAAGAAATCAGAGTTCATTCAGTGTTCTTTTTTGTTCTGTGGCAGCACTGGGGTTTGAACTCAGGGCCTCCCACTTGTTAGGAAGGCACTCTACCACTTGAGCTACACTCCCAGTCCTTTTTCTAGCCCTCTTGTTTTGCTTCAGTTATTTTATCAGGTGTAGTCTGATGTTTTTGCCAGGGTCAGCCTCAGACCTAGATCCTGCTACCTATGTTTCATGTGTAGCCAGAATTACAGTCATGAACCACCACATGCAGCTTGTTTGTTGAGATGGGAGGGGGGGGGGTCACGTTAACTTTTTGCCTAGGATGACCTTGAATCATGATTCTCCCAATCTCAGCCTCCCAAGTAGCTAGAATTATAGGCGTGAACCATTACACCCAGACTCTCATTCATTATTCTTAATACAGCCATCAAGCATAAACACCACACGTCTACAAAGCAAAGATCTAAAACAAAATTTGCAAAGTGACTCAGACTTAAATTTTAACAAATGGTATCCATAAAAGCAAATTATATTAATCAAGTTTGTTATTATGATGACTTTAAGAACAAAAGTGTCTCTCTTAAAAAAAAAATAGACTGGAGGTGTGGCTCAAGCGTTAGAACACCTGCTTTGTCACTGCAAAGCTCTGCGTTCAAGCCCCAGTACCACCAAAAAAAAAAAAAAAAAAAAATTATACATTCCACAGACCCCCACACAATCCCTACTTATTCTTGTATGTGAAAAATATTTAATTTTTATACTTGTTCCTTTCTGAAAAGGAAACAAAACAAGAGAAGTCTCTGTACTTGACTCTATGAAGCTGTGACCTGTGGACCATCTTTACAGAACAGGAGGTGCACATTAAGAAAGAACATACACAACTTACTTGCTTTCTAAAAGTCTGATGAGTGGAAGGAATTGTTCATTAAGCAAAGATACTTTGTTAGGATCAATTTCTTCCTGTGAACAATATGAAATATACTCTTCAAAAAGAAGGCTGCAAGAAAAAGCAGAGGAATCAGGAGGTGCAAGTTACTGATGATTTCCTACAATGTTTCCAGGTGCTTTACAAACAGACTCTCTAATTACCATCCAAAGCAGAAATATATATACCACTTGTATTACCAAGATAAGAGAAATAAGAAACTAGGGCCTTAGATGTCTTGCAACTTGCCTGAGGCCCTGTATGCCAGAAAAAAGCAGAGTGGGTTTTAAATTTTAAACCCAATTATGACTATAGAGCCGAAGTAAAGCCTTCACACATATTCTTATTTAATTCTCAAACTAATCTCTTGGCAGGGGGAAGGTCCTGTCCAACTGACCTCGGAATCTACTACCCCACTGGAAGTGGCAGAAGCAGAATTCCACCCTATGCCTGACTGCAATGCCTACATTATACTCATCATCCCAAGTTGCCCTTTAACTAGGAAAAAAGGAAGACCACACTACCTTTACAGAAAAGGAAGAATATTTACTCTGTGCCTATCTTCAATATTAAGTTTCCAATCAACATTTACTGTGTATTAATTGTGATACATATTATTGTTAATTGGTTGGCTGATCAATTTTTTTTGAGACTGGGTTTTGCTATGTGGCTCATGCTGGCCTAGAACTTGCTATATAGCCCAGGCTGGCCTCTGTCTCCCAAGTGCTGGGATTGCAAGCATCTAATACCATGCCCAGTTGGTTCAACTATTAATACAAAACTTTAAACCACCAACTGGGTTTATTTATAACCCAAATTTTGTTAAACTTGTATTTATTACCATTATTTACATTTATTACTTATATTTATTTCCATTTTCTTCTGTAAGTATTAAAGGCAAGCAAGAAATGTTACTTTTATGCTGCCACAATTACTGGATTAAATGCTGTAACTAATAAAATGATACAAACAAAGCAAGATATACATGGAAAAGAAGTGCTAGAAAACTAACCTGCCCTGAAATGTACATTGAACCATGAGTATGCTAGTCAAAGTTGTGTTGGAAACAACAGCTTACCTAGCCAGCAAATGGTCCAAGTTGTTCTTCAGTGGTATTTTCCTAAGAATGGCTTCTAAGTGTTTCTTATAGACTTGACCATCTAATTCTTCAGTTTCTTCTTCTTAATGTGAAACATTCAGAATTGAGTTGGGGAGAATTTTTTGCATGCTTACACAATTAAATTTACTTAGAGCAGAAAACCTTGCAGGAATACTTTATAGCACATACCTCAATACCCAGTTTTCCACCCACTTTCAAAGATATATTTTACCTATTTAGTCACTTATATTTTTCAAAGCATTTTTGTATGACTACTCTCATTTGTCCTTTACCTAAAATTCTCTATATGTTAACTATTACAATGTTTATATCAAAAAATCACAAGTACAAAAATTACATAGTATTTTTCCTAAGGCACACTAAACGTTAGTGGTAAAAAGAAGGGAAAAAAAACCCCAAAATAAAGGAAAAATAAGCAAAAATAAATACATGAAAGTTAGTGGTAAAGTCAGGCCATGAGCTAGGTCTCAACAAACCATCTCTAAAAACAGGTTAAATTTTCATGTCAGTATCTCCTCATAAACCAAGGTTGCCACCTTCCACTCTAGAGTTACCGTAAACACATGAATCTGATGTGGGCCACTGTCTTCAAAACCTGGTCCACATTAGTCACTGCCACGGGATCAGAAAGAGTACATTTGCACTTATGCTAACCACTTTTCTGAAATGCAAGTTTTAAATCAAGTTTTGGCTGTACAAACCTTATTTGCCAACAGACTGACACAGCTGTAGAGCTGTCCTCAATATTCTCAGAGTAGCAACAGCATCAAGTATTTCTTCCTTCTGTCTGTATTTATTTATTGTTTTTGATGGTACTAGGATTTGAATTCACGGCCTTATGCTTGCTAGGCAAGCACTTTACCACGTGAGCCACTCCACCAGCTCTTTTTTGGGTATTTTTGATATAGGGTCTTATGAACTATTTGCCTAGGCTGACTTTGAACCTCTATCCTCCTGATCTCTGCCTTCTGAGTAGCAAGAATTATAGGCATGAGCCACTTGTGTTTGGCCTCTTTCTGTAAAGGGTAAAAGAAATAATATAATCACTTTCTTGGCTTTATTTGGATTTCTAGGTATGCTTTTTTGTTTATCTATCTATTTACACACTTTTTTTGAGGAAGGGTCTACTCATGTATCCTTGATTGGCCTCAAACCCAGAAACCTCCTGCCTCCACCTCCTGAGTACTGACTGGAACTGCAGGCATTAATTGCCACACCCAGCTAGGTCTTGTATTGCAGAGAGAACCTTTTTTGGCAGTTGGGTATTTACTGTGACTCACTGAAGATCACTAACTTCCTAAAGGGTTACACAGAAACAATGGGATAGCAGAAATTTAAAATAATTTAAAGCAGTTAAGCAGGGTATGGTTCCAACTTTATGGCGGTCAAATCTTAGAAAGGAAGCTTCTGCCCCAAGATGGAGAACCCAGTACCTGTAACATGGTGAACGATGGCGACTACCAGATGGGGAAGCATGTATCGCAGAAGAGGAGTGATGTCGTGCGTCTCGGAAATCCCATGAAGTAAGTCAATGAGGCTGGGAACGCTACACAAGTGAGGAAATGGCCTGGGAAGAAGCAAATGCAGGAAAACAGCTTATGACTCATCTGACAAAAAACTACTCAAGGTGACTCCATCCACCTCTAATAGCACCACTGCTCAACTCCAATGAGACATACTTTTTCCCGAGGCTTTCTGGCTTCTGTCTCTGCAGGAGAATTATCAAGCAACCCAATCCATCCTTGATCAAAGAGGGAACGTTAGTCAACGTTCTGATGATCTGTGATGCTAGTGAGTTAACAAAGGTTTCTTCCATTGTCACTTTCACAGAAATCTGACAGATTATCATGTATGTGGCAGCTCTGTAATCCAGTAAAGATGATTTCAATCCCTAAATGTTTAATATAGGAAAATGTCAAAGTAGAAATGTCAATGTTTCAGGAGACCAATGTTTACCTTCTTTAAACAGTACACAATGCATACATGTACCGAGATATCACATGGTACCCCTTAAATATGTGCAACTTGTTTTCATGTATCAGCTATAAATAAATTTTTAAAAATATTAAGTAGATATTAATAAAACCTGATGCACACTGATGGTCAACCACTCTCAGAAGCAGATCATCAATGTGTTAACCCCTTTTCCTGTGTGGACACAGGGATGAGGCCAGTCTCTTATATGAGAGGGAAGGAACCTCTGCAGGGTCTCCTAACTCAACACCCTCTACACATGCTGATAGGAACCAACAAGCTCTGCTTCTATCTGCAAGTCCCCACTGTGGAAGGTGGACTTCGATTAGATAACTGAGGAAGTAAAAAGGATCTGACAAAGACAGCAAATCGTGTTTTGACCAGAAGTGAAATGCAGAGCCCTTATGGGGCATCTGGGAAGGTGGCGGCAGCAGAACACAGGAAGAGGACACAGTGAGAAGCAGAAACCACTGCGAGGAGAACAGGTAAGAGATGGTGGCCTGTGCCTGGATGAGACCCTCTGTTCTGTTCCTTTCCAGTGATGTAAAGAACTGCTGAGGAAACAGATCTGGGAGACAGTAGAGAGTAACAGATGTTATATACTTAATTAAGGTCTGAAGAGAGTCCTATTTATGTATTTATTTTTTGGGCAATACTGGGGTTGGAACTCAAGGCTTCATGCTTACAAAGCAAGCACTCTACCACTTGAGTAACGGCTCAAGTCCACAAGGGTCTTATTTACATATGTATTTATTTCTTTCTTTATTTTGGCTGGATTGGGGTTTAAACTCGGGGCTTTGTGCTTGCAAAGCAGGCATGCTACTGCTTGAGCCAAACTTCTAGTCCCATATCTTTTACTTAAAGATTAAATTTTATCATCCACTTGAATAAACTTAACAGTATTTATTATTTTATTGCTGTAGTGGGTTTTGAACTCAGGGCCTTCAGCTTGCTAGGCAGGCACTTTACCACATGAGCCATGTCCCTCCCCCACAGCACTAAACTGTCAATTTAAAAACACTCATTTCTAAATGAAATTTCTAGAAGCAAGAAAATTCCTTTACAACATGATCTCCTTGACAGGTTAGCAGGACCAACCTTTTGGATATATGGGAATAGTTTGGCCACAATGCTGTCTGACACGTCTTCAGCAGCCACAAGAGCAGACACAATGGTGGAAGCATAAAAAGCCAAAAGCACCCTGAGCTGAGCTGAGCTTCCCGGGTACTCAGCAAAAGCCTGAAACAGGGAACACAAACAAAATGTGTTTTAAGGCATCTAGATAAAACCACAGAAGTACTTGCAGCTCTCCTCAACTTTGTCTTACCATATGCAACACTGAGAAAATAAGCAATACGATAACAATCTTCTTGACATTTCCAGATGGTTTCTTCACTTAAATAACGATAGCTAAAATTTGGCAAGGAATAGTCTAACTTATTTTTACAGAAAAACACTTCTGTAAGGAAAGACTGATTCTCAGACTGCTCATGCACCAAAACCAGCGGTGTATTCAACAAAAGAAATGTCTCCAAGGTTCCATCTTCTCAGGAAGGCTTTGTATATTTCCATCCTTCAGAGCAGGCAATCACACCAAGGGATCATGAAACAAGGTACTACTCACCTTCACAGAACTGGTCACCAAACTACAGATAAAATCCATGAACCCCAGGTCTTTGTAGCAATGGGTAACCAATGTTCCTCGAGCTAAGGGTACTCCAGATTGCTGTGATTGAAACAAAGAACAAGCCATCAGATTGGATTCATATACCAACTCTGTACACTTTAGCTATATGAACTCCAGCAAGTAACTTAACTTTCTGAGCCTGCCCTTATCTGTAAAAAGTTTTGTGAGGACTGGAGGAGGTGTTCCTCAAGCAGTAGAGTGCGTGCTCTGCAAGCATGAAGCCCTGAGTTCAAATCCCAGTCCTCACAAAAAAAAAAAAAGTTTTGTGAGACTCAAATATAATAAAATGCATAGCCTGATGTCAGGTACTAAAAAGTGCTAGATGTTATTAGTAACAATTTCAATTAGAAATTAGAAAATAAAAGCGATATAGGTAATATGTGCACTATCTCCAGATCACTAAGGACTTTATTTTTTCTAAGTTATAGCCGCTCTTCAAGATCTGTAGTGATTACATACAGATAGATGTCACTCAACCGTCATACCTTCACTGGAAACAACCAGAACCATTTGTGTTTTGGATTATTAATTTTTAGAAGCTGTATCACTCGCACAAATATTCTTGTCTCGTGGTATGGCAGAACACAGGCGATGAGGCTATCCTGATTGTAAAGGTGGATATGGAACCTGGGAGAAAAGCAAATTCAAACTGACATGAAACACAGGCACATACTTCCCAACATGTCCAAATTCTGTATCAGTGACATAAAAATACCCCGAATGTGCTACTTGTTAAAACAATCACATAACTGTTAGTGAGATTCAGAGCACTTACATAATGAGGCCTCTAAGCCCTCTATTTTTCTTTCCTTTTTTGGGTGGTACTGGAGTTTGAACTCAGGGCCTCATGCTTGCTAGGCAGGCACTCTACCACTTGAGCCACTCCACCAGTCCTTTTTTGTGTTGGATATTTTCGAGATAGGATCTCATTAACTACTTTCCAGGCTAGCTTCGAACCTTAATCTTCCTGATCTCTACCTACTGAGTAGCTAGGATTAAAGGCGTGAGCCACTGGCACCAAGTTGAGCCCTCTACTCTTCCTCCAAGTTTGCCTCAACATGGTTTCGTCCGTTCCGATGCACTGACATTTTTGAATATTCAGTAACAAAATTTACAACCCATTTGCTTTCTTTAAACCTTAATGAAACAGTAGGATCATCAGTCAAACCAACTGAGCACTAACACAACAAAGCTCAGCTTCTGTGTTCCTGTTGCCTTCCATAGCTCTCCTAACCACTTCCAAAACCAACACTATCTTTCAAGAGGAAAGCACACTAATTTCTGTGGATAAAAAATGATCAAATCACAATCTTACATAGCTCGCACATATAGTCCCTCTACCAAACAAATGTAAGACAGACTCCTATTTTTTTGGTGATACTGGGGTTTAAACTCAGGGCTTTGCACCTGTAAAGCAGACACCCTTAAGCTACACCTCCAGCCCAACAGACTTCTTTTGTGAATTCACTGAAATCTTCCCTGTTTTCAGGACCTAGCTCACACTCCTCCTTCAAGGTGCTTTTCCTAATTCTCCTAGCCAAGTGATTCCTCTTGTGTCTGTCTAAAAGTCAAGTGCTTTTACATTACTTTTCTTACAGTACCACACCAGTCTGTCTTTCATTAGTTAGTTTTATATAAGGCTTTAGCGTGAGTCAAAGTTTATAAGCATCTAGAAGCTTTCCTCAACTAATCCAGGCAGAGTTACCTCTCTTAAATCTTGCATAAACTTTTAAGACATTTATTTCAAGATATTAATGAGGGGAAATGTTCATACATGTATATGTCTGCTGAATAAATAACTTACACGAATACACAAAAAATCAAATGCAAGAGGTACGCCTTATGTTAATGATCTGCTTGGGAGAAATTAAATGCAAGGTGACAAAGGGAATTTTTTGTCTGATGAGTCTAATGTTCTGATTCCCAGAAGACCCAACTTAAAATTATGTTTTCTTAATGGCTCACTTGTTTTCTAAAAGGAAATCACTACAATCTTATGTCTACATTAATGAAATGGACATCTTTCTACTTCTAACACACATATGCTGGGTGAAAAATAACATGCGTGAGCTGTGATGTCTAACAGTAAGTGAGAAAATATACTGAGTAAACTTAATGACACAATTTCCAAAGCAGTTGAAAGAACAGGGCTTAGGAACAAACTTCAGTTATATCCTAGCTCAGCCACTTACTAGTTGTGTGACTCAAACAGCTGACTCACTCTGTGCCTGTTTTTGCAACTGTACAAGGAAATAATACAAGTATCTCCCCACAGGAGTATCTGGGGATTGAGCTATGTGAAAAGGGCTCACACAGAACCTGGTGTGTAAGTGCTCAACACACATTCATTATTAACATTTTAAGTTAAGGTGTATTACAGGATGCTGTTACCCTCCACTTTGGGAAGAAAGAGGTTTAATACCCAGTGCCCCAAATGTCATGGAACAATCTGTAATGGCAAAGTGCCATGAGCTACTCAGAATTAATGAGATTAGACCATTTCCCAGGGATCTTTGGTATTATGTTTAATAGAAGATACTTACTTCATGCTCATGTAACATACTAATCTCTTAAGATACCTAATTTTTCAGCTTTCAATTGGCAAATGTTCGCAACTACTAACTTTTTAAAAGACCAGGGTGGTTAGCCCATAATTATTTCTGTCATTCTGTTAGCTACCTGTGAATCAACCATTCCAGACACTTCTGCGCTGGCTTAAGCAGGAAGTAGGGGGACAAGTGAGTGAGGAATAATGAAATGTTTTCATCCAGCTGCTTGTTCACTGCTTTGGTCTGAACGCTGCGCTCCAAGGTTTTTGCTAGCTGGCTGAACAGCGGTGCTTCAAACTGCTCGAAGGCAGGATCGATTCCAAGCAGCTCCTCCAGACCAGTGCACCCTAGGGAAAGGTCACTTTATTTAGCAATTCTTTGCAAGCAAACCCATCCTGTCCTCTTCTACAGTCTTACTTACCCTTGAAGTCTCTGAACTCTTTTTAATATGTAGTCTCAAACACAGATTTATGCTTGTTTGGTTTTCTTTGGTGGAACTGGCATTTGAACTCAGGGCTTCATGCTTGCAAAGCCACACCTCACTCCATAGACTTATGTTAACATACAGAATCAACTCTGTCTCTCTCCCTCCCAACTCCCCCTCCACTCCCCCCACCCTCGCCTTTCCTTCCTCCATCTCTCTCCCTCCCCGCCTCTCATCCTCTACAATTAGGCCCCCTCCTCCTGGAAGACTCCTCCAGTCACTGCCTCATCCTCTTTAAATGTTAGCTGACCTCCCTAACCGGGTCTCTCCGTTTTATGACATTCAGACACCACTTCTTAGCACGCCGAGCATCTATCACAGATGCTCGCTCTTCTTCCCTTAACCGCATCAATCCACAAGTTAGAGTTACCAATGGCAAAAGCGGTGTCCCTGTCGATGGTGGCCGCTTCCTTGGGGTCAAACAACAAAGACGCAACCTCATGTCTGGATAAGAGGCTGGGGTCGCTCTGAGGGAGGGCAAGTCGCTGGAGCTGCTGGGCTAAGGACGTCATCTTTAGCACGAGCGGATTCCTAAACTCAGGCTAAGAGACAAGCGCGGTGAGAAGTCTGCAGGGCCCTACGGGAGGCACAAGCCTCCGGCTCCGGGACGCAGCGCTCAGCAACCCCAGGGCCATCCCCGGGACCGCACCTAGTCTTCCCGCAACCCCCGACTCCGCAGACCCATCAGCCTCCCTCGGTGTACCGCCCCGACCCGCAGCCACCCCAAGCGGCTCCTGCTCCCCCTTACCCGGAGCTCGGAATTCGGGCAGGTCTGGAAAACTCGTCACCGCAGTACCCACATGGCACCAAGCAGCCCGGCCCTCGCCGGAAACCGAACGCGTGTCCGAGAGGAACTTCCTGTTTCAGGCAGTACGGCGAGCGAAGAGGCACAAGCTTGTGGGCACTGCGCCGGATGGCCCCGCCCCGACGCTAGGCCCCGCCCCGCGAGGCCACGCCCCTCTACAGAACCACGCCCCTGCCCGGCTCCGGCTGAGGGGTTCCGCTCCCACGTGGCGCTGCTGCTGTGTGCGCTGGCCTGGGTCTGCGTTTTAGGCTCTGGCTGCGCCGTTTGTGAACTTTTAAGGATCTGTAGTCGGGGTCGTTCAGAGTCGTGAAGCCACGTCGCAATGTGAAGTTGGAGCCGGTCTAGCGTTCCGTGGGGTGAGCTGCTGGCCCCAGACCTCCAGCAACGCTGTCACTCCGCTTCCTGTTCATTCCTGGAGGACGCTACTATTTTTCTTTTGAAACGAACCCTGTTGAGTTATAATTTATAACCCCAAAATGCACCCAGTTCCGTCCCACAGTTGGATGAGTTTTAGCAAATGAACAATGCAGGTGTGATCATCTTCCGGGTCCAAACACACTCCAGCATCCCTCAAAGTCACTTTCCTCAGCCTGGGAGATGGCCTTGCAGAGAATAACGTGAAAGACTGATGGAGTCTATTTCATCCTTACAAACTGATTTCTCAAATGCTTTTTCTTTTCTTAAGAATCACAGCAATTTTATAATAAGGCAGTTACCTGCCAGGCATGGTGGTGCATACTTGTAATCCCAGCATTCAGGAGGCTGAGGCAGGAGGATTGATGGTTCCAGGCCAGCCTGGGCTATGTAGCTAGACTGTTTCAAAAAACCAAAAATTAATTAATTAGTTAATTAATTAAAGTAAATAAATAAAATTTAAAAAACAATTATCTTTGGGTATTTGGTAAGAAATAAAAAGCAGGCCTGTTTTATCCACAGACATATTTCCTATTTCAGTTTGTGTGTGTGTGTGTGTGTGTGTGTGTGTGTGTGTGTGTAAAAATCCCCTATGTATTTGTAAAAGTGAAGCTAAAAGATGTGCTCCAGATGCTTGCTTCAGTTTTCTCTAGGTCAGCTCTGAAGACATATGGTATCATCCCCAATTTTACTTTAGAAGCAGTCTAAAGACTGAGCTCTTTAATCTATTTTAAGATATCTGTGTAATTTAACGAGTAATTCTTTCATAAAATTCACAATTTTATTTTCATCATCTTGAAAAGGTTTTCTTTTTTGGCTGTATTGGTTTGAACTCAGGGCCTAGCACTTGCTAGGCAGGAATGCTACACTTGAGCTACTCCGCCATCTCTGTTTTGTGAAGGGATTTTTCCAGATAGGGTCTTGTGAATTATTTGGGTAGGAGCTGTCTTCGAACTTCGATCCTCCTGATCTCTGCCTCCTGAATAGCAAGGATTATAGGTGTGAACCACCAGTATCTGGCTTGAAAAGTAAGAGCTTTTGAGTTTAAAGGATTAAAAGTGTTGGTTCTTTCTTTTCTTTCTTTCTTCTTTTTTTTTTCCTAGAAGTCTGAGACTTTCCAACTTTATTTGCTGATTCACTGTGGAAGTTGCCATCCTGTCTTGTTCACATATCCTTTCCCATGGGTGGGCAGGGAATGAGTTATTTTTAAAGCTATTCTCCCCCTCCCACCCTATCCCCTTTAATGCAGAGGACAGATCTGTTGACTTCCCATATGTGTTTATGCCGGGCTGGGGAGATGTGAACAGACTGAGGTCCTTCCTTGCTCCTTTGGAACCTGTATCCCAACAGGAAGAGACAGCCAAAGAGAAACCAGCAAACCATCAAGTAACGTGTAAGTGTTCTATGACAGTAATAGAAACCATATGACAGGGGTGATTAGCAGATGTCATTAGTTTGAGTTGTGGGAGAAGGACTCTAAGGATGGGACATTTATGCTAGGACCTGAATGAAAAGTTTTGAAAAAGTGATCATCCCAGACAGGATTGATCTTGACATTGACTCTGCTCCAACCACAACAGGGCTCCTGGCCAAGCTGGTATTTTCTCTACAGCATTCATTCAGATTATTCTGGAAATGATCTGAATTTTTAATTTGTTTACCTGCTTATTTCTTGTTACCCTCACTAGAACCCTGGCTTTAGCAAGTTGACATGCAGGCAGTCCAGCCCTAGGATTGACTTGTTATCATAGGTCTGAATATTTAAAACTTATAAATCAACTCACTATTGACTAAGATATTATATAACTTCCAACACTGACAAACATTTATAACAACAAAATAAAGGGTAAAAACTAGGCACTCTAAAGATGATTGGATCCTGTTGATTGATGGTTTTTTGTGAGTAACAGACATATATAGTTAATATACATCTGTACATTTAATGCACAAAATCACCAATTATGTTATTTAATCAAGATTTTTATGGGGGCTGGGGTGTAGCTCGGTGGTAGAAAGCTTGCCTAGCATTGTGAGGCCAGGTTCTATCCCCAGCAAACCGCCCCCCCACAAACAGATTTTCATGTAATTAGGTTCTATCAACAATAATGATCAAAAGGATTGAAAATAAAATTTAATTTTATTCAATCTATATAAAATTAGAATGTTTTCATAAAAGCAGAAATTAAAAACTAATACACTAAATTTATTTTCGCTTATTTTATCTAAGAAGCCGAATATAGATTATAATCCGTGACAAAATGTTAAATAACATTATTTAAATAAGTCTGAAGTTTTATTTTTTAGTAAATACTACCTTGTGAAGCATTTTCACCAAAATCAACAAGTTGATCATTCAATGTTGCCATTGCAAGCCTCAATGCCCCTTCATTCCTGATACAGCCATACCCACCTATTTTCAAATTTGAGCCATATGAATTGTTTGGTATTGTTAAATATTCTTTAGCTGCCACGCTCAGTTATTGGGTGAGTTATTGGCTACATTAATTCCTGAGTACATCCAGGACCATGAACTGGAAATAAGAAATCATGTGTTTAGAACTACTTAGGAAAACCTCTTTATTATGCCCAAATCTGTTATCTCCGTACAGTTTGAGGGGATGAGTGACAAGTTAGTCTTTACTCCTACCTAAGCACTTCTTATTCGAGTCCTCCCTGCCCTCCACGGCAAGTCCTGGGGCAGTGCAAGCCACAAACTTGCGGAGTGTTCAGGTCGTCTTTCATTGTGAGGACACAGGGAAAAGACTTGTCTCCCCCAGGCGGCAGTGTAAATCATGACCCTGGATGTCTAGGCTACAGTTATGCTGTACAGTATGGAGTGGCAGATTGGGAGACTCCTACATCTTGAAACACAATGTAGGCTTCTGGATTTGTGATAGAAGGAGACCAGGATGTGTTGAAGACAAGGGCTTGCTAATGTTACTTTTGAAACTCCACTACCAAATAAAGTAATTAATTGGCTGACTGCATGAATGAATGAAAATGCGCTTAAGCTGTATCTGTGTCTCCTTCCTGTTTAAGAAATGTGTATCGGAATGCAAATGAGTGAGAACAGTATTACTACAGGAGTGACGGAATAGCTCTATAATAAAAGTAATCAATTCAGAAACTTCAGAATTTTATTATTGAATTATTTGCATCATCTATCACAACTAATGGGATGCTGAAAAAGATGTGTCTCATTAGCAAAGAAATTCAACACGTGAAATCTACATTTTGGCCAAGTGCTAACACACGAACGACTAAATGATTGCAGAATTATAAACCTGAGCACTCATAGTCTTGTCAATAAAAATTACTTTTGTTACTTTGACAATGATTTGGAAAGAGGGAGCAAGTGCCCGGAATAGCTCGAGACCAGCAGGGGGAACCAAACCACCTTCCCAACTCCCAAGTCAGCCAGGAGTAGCCCCAGGTGCCTGATGGGAAACAACAGTTTTCAAATGTGAAAATTATATTCTTTTGTCTAGAAACTGATTCATAACCCTTCTGCATGTCTTGAAATGCAATACAACAATGCCTTCAAATGCATTTAGGGAACTCAGAATTTAAAAGTGTTTAGATATTCTTGGCTAAAGAGAACCATTCAGTCATCTGCTTAGTAACCTACAGGCGTGGGTACCAGCAACCCTCCCTTCCCTCATTCCACCTCCTTCTATGCTAGTTTCTACTGAATAGGGGAATGGTGAATAAAACCAGGAAACTTTATAGAAAATTAAAGATTTGAATTGTGGATAAGATGGATAGTGATATTTTGCTCCTGGATAAGAAAGTAAATATATAAAATATCTATTTTCCATCCCAAGTTAATTTACATATTTAATTCAGTCTTAAGAAAAGTCTGAGAATCTTTAAAAATTTTATAAAATGATTCCAAAGAGTACATAAAAGACAGGTATACTAGGAATACATTTAAAAAGTTCTCAGAGGGACATTTAATGAAAAATGTACTAGGGTAGGTTAGCATGATCAGAATATTTAAAAATATACAACAGAACTCTGCAAGTAGGAAAGTACAGCCCTGGGGAAAAACAAATAAATAGACCCCCAGTACCAAATAACTAATCTAAAAATAGATTCTAATGTAAGTAATATAGTAGAAGAGAAATATCAAAAGTGATCAGGGAAGGAAATACTCACTGATTAACGCTGGGGTAATTGATTTTGGTAGAATAAAAAAATTAGAAAATGGCTGCTGGAGTGGCTCAGGACCTAGAGTGAAGGATGGAGCTAAGAATTCAAGAGGACAAGGCAGCTGGAGCTTGTAGGAAGAGGACTGGAGGGAGAGAGACTCAAACACAGAGGGCCAGAGACCTGCAGAGGGTCCCCAGAGTGTTCAGCAGGTACTGCTGAGAGCTCCCTTGTGGGAGCTTGAAGCCAAAGAAAGAACCAACTGAAAGGATTAGAGGGAAGGAATTACACAGAGCAGAAACAAACCCTATTCTACCAAGAAGATTGGAAATCTCATGGCTCGTAAATTAGGCATGAAACACAGAGTGGCCTTGTCTCAGAAGTGGGAGTCATTGGTCCTAGGCTGAGCACTGCTCCAGTCTCACCTAACATCTCAAAATCAGGTCCTAAAAGATAGAAGTGTTCCCAAAGAA